AATCCCTTTACATTCTTAAAAATTAGAATTGAAAGAGCTTTTGTTTGTGTAGTATATGTCTAGTGTTATTTCTGCATTAGAAATTAAAGCTGCCTGGGGGCAGTGGCTCACACTTGTAATCCCAGTGCTTTGGGAGGCAAAGGCAGGAGGATTGCTTGAGGCCAGGAGTTCGAGATCAGCCTGGGCAACATAGCAAGACCTAGTCTCTACAAAAAATTTAAAAATTAGCCAGGCGTGGTGGTGCACAGCTATAGTCCAAGCTACTCAGGAGGCTGAGGTGGGAGGATCCTTTGAGCCCAGGGGATAAGCCTGCAGTGAGCCATGATCATACCACTGAACTTCAGCCTGGGCACAGAGTGAGACCCTGTCTCAAAAATGAAAACAAAAGAAAAAAAAGAAGTTAAAACTGAAAAAGTTCTAAAAATCCATTACATGTTAATCAAATAGCATGTTTTATGAAATATAACTGGTTTTTAAGACAAGATTTTTAAAAAGAGCAAGAAGAATGACATTTTGAGAGATATATGCATGTGTGTATATATGTGTGTGTGTATATATGTATATGTGTGTGTGTATGTGTGTGTATATTTATATATAGTAAATCTGATGCCTGACTTAATAGAAGGCAACTGGATTCTCATATCTGCTTATGCATTCAATTTGTTGTTTTGATTGAAGTATATGAAGAAAAACTGGCCTCATGCAGATACGTAATTGGACAAGGGAAGGTTAGCCTATTCAAATAATTGTTGGTATTTTTCTTTGCTACTATCCTAAACCCCACAAGTAGTTTCTTAAAGGTTAGGTGCAATGTGGAATCTGGAACCATATAATAAACCTTTCTTTTTTGTTTGTTTGTTTGAGATAGAGTCTCCTTCTGTTGCCTGAACTGGAGTGCAGTGGCGCAATCTCAGCTCACTGTAGCCTCTGCCTCCCAGGTTCAAGTGGTTCTCCTGCCTCAGCTTCCCGAGTAGCTGGAATTACAGGTGCAGGCCACCATGCCCGGCTAGTTTTTGTATTTTTAGTAGAGACAGGGTTTCACCATGTTGGCCAGGCTAGTCTCAAACTCCTGACCTCAAGTGATCCACCCGCCTCAGCCTCCCAAAGTGCTGGGATTACAAACATGAGCCACCACGTCTGGCCTATTGAACTTTTCATACTCCATGCACTCATGAAGGAATGAAAGTAAAAAGGCAAATAATGTCTTTGTGTTGTTGTAAAAATAGTTTGACCTTAAAGACTTTCTGAAAAGGTCCAGAAATCTCCAGAGGTCCCCAGAGCACACTTTGAGAACCTCTGGTATAAGCTTAGGGAAGTAACAAATAGCCCAACTAGCTGAAGACCATGAGTCAACATATCCATGCCTTATTTACTGCAACAACTGTTTTTGAAGTCTGAGAGAGAAAAAAGAGACCAATAATTAACTCCTGCCCATCCAGCCAAGATATAGAGAAAATGGAGATAATGTTTCTAAAGGGATGCAGACCTCTGGAAGTAAATAGATGAAAACTGTGATCCTAAAATTAAGTATGTGGTTTTCTCCTTGAATAAATTGAAATAAGAAGCGTGTCAGAATGTACAGATACGGTAGATGCTTTCTTAAAGTGGCATGATCAGGTATAACGTATCATACTCAAAGCCTTTAAAATTAGCCAGTCAATATTAATTGTGCTAAAATCATTGAGATTGTCAAATGCAGTGCTAATTTTGTATCTAGAAATAAATTTTCCCCTGAATTTTTTGTTTAAAAGAACTATCAATGCTTTTAGCTAGCACATAAAAAAAAAAAGAACTTTCTATACACTTACTAAAGGAAACAACGTATCTTCTATTTTTTAAAAAAGGAAGAAAAAAACACTTTTACCTGGCAGCTGAGATCGCAAAGCCTTATTTATTTGTTTGTGAACTATGCACCTGCATGCTTCATCTGTTTATAAACTAAACACTAACCTGTATAAGAAATATGTTTTTGCAACATTTACTCTTTTTTCTTCTCTTTTATTTGTATGCTTTAATGGTGCATCTATTTGTTTTGCTAAAGAGTGAAATCATTTTATTTTTACTTGAATGTATACAAGAATTCCTGTCTTCCTATAAACTTTCAACATATTAACTTGCATTACATTCCCCCGACAGTAAGTTGTTACCAATGATACACGTTGACTTTAACACAGCATTTATCTTGGGAAGGGAGAGGACATATTTATTTGTATATATCATTTTGTTAGGGGAAATATTTTACATGTAAACAAATGTATTCCTTGGAATTTTTTTTTGACTTTAGTTAAACTCTTTCACTAGAAGTAGAATAATCGCCACTGATTTCTCTGAATATAGTTCAGATTTTCATTTTAGACCGTTAAGAGATCCACCCAAAATTATATTTTCAGATTCTTCTTTCTAATAGGTGTAAGGTATGGGACAGGTAGACTAGAGAGTTACGGAAAATGTGCAAACAACAAACCTAAAGCATTAGTTCCCCACTCCTGTGTTTTTTTTTTCTTAGATCAGTCTCATGAGCACCAGGGCTAGAGATAAATATATATGAGTTATGTATCAATATATGTCTGGTGGTGGTGGTATCCTTGGGTATACCCAAGGTTTTTTATAGCATATTTTAAAAATTGACTTGTGTGGAAAATATTTGATGACATTCTAGCCTGTCTTTTTGTTTTGTTTCTTTGAGACAGGGTCTTCTCTCTCAACCATGTTGGAGTGCAGTGGCACCATCACGTCTCACTGCAGCCTCAACCTCCCTGGCTCAAACGATCCTCCCGCCTCAGTCTTCTAAGTAGCTGAGACTACAGGCTCGCACAATCCCACCCGGCTAATTTTTCATATTTTTTGTAGAGATGGGGGTCTCCCTATGTTGCCCAGGCTGGTCTCGAACTCCTGGACTCAAGTGATCCACCCACCTCAGCCTCCCAAAGTACTGGGATTACAGGTGTGAGCCACTGCACCCAGCCTGACATTTTATCATGTCTTATAAAACATTTTATCTATACATTCCTGCTCAGTTCCATGTATCATGAAACAAAGGTTGAAATACTTCTGCCTTAGAAAGAAATCAAATATATTTTAAAATATTAACAACTACTCCAGAAATCATCCAAGAGGGTGAACAAACAGGAAGAGAACAAAGCCATTATGGCTTTTGCTTTAAAATTTTCTTATAGATTTTGGGTAAACTCTTATATTTGACCTCAAATAGTTAAAAAAGAAAATAAAACTTTACGGATAGTCAAGATAATGTGAACGCTTATCTCAAGTATTTTCCACCCCGAAATATATAGTGTATTTTCCAACACCAGTTCTCTACCTCTCTGATTCTCTGACACCAACTGGGTGTCCTACAATTTGATCCTGTTCTGGCACTAACTCCCCAGGTTGGTATCAAACAGATTTAAGGGCTGAGTCTTATAAGAGTGACCTCATTTTGGTCACCAGGCACACCAGGTATTGAGCCCCCAGGTTACCTGTACTATAAATTTAGGGGTTTGCACATCCCGCCCCCAACCCCCCGACTCAGGATTGATATTTGCTATGGCAACTCACAGAAATCAGGAAGGTGCTATATACTATTATAGTTAATAAAAATGAACAGCCAAATGAAGAAGTACATAGGGCGAGGTCCAAAAGAGGCCAGAGCACAAGAGCCTCTGTCTCCATGGAGTTAATGTATTCTACCCTCCCAGTGCATGGATGTGCTCACTGACTTGGAAGTTCTCTAGTCCCTGTTGTTTAGGGCCTTTTATGGAAGTTCCATTACGTAGACCTAATTGATTAAATTATTGGCCATTGGTGGTTGGACTCATCTCCAGACCCTGTCCCCTCCCCAGAGGCTGGGAGGTAGGGCAGAAAGTTCCCACACTCTTATACCGTTGGTCCCTCTGGCAACCAGTTCCTATCCTGAAGTTGTCTAGGGCGTCGATGAGAGTCACCTCAGTGACATAGACTCAGGGATGGTTGAAAGGAACTGGTTTGAATAACAAAAGATGCTCCTTCTCTATCCTATCGCTCAGAAAATTCAATTTTAGGAGGTTAGTGCCAGGAATCACGGACCAAGATGAAATATATTTTTGTTTTACTGCTGGGTTTCTTCTAGGTAGTGGAGACAAGGTTTTGGAGGTATGGCAAGGAGAGATAGTTTTCTTTTCATGTTGAACACTCCTGAATCTCTTCCCTAACAACATTCATTGCATCAGTTATCTATTGCTGCCTACCATAATACCCTTAAAATGTTAGTGGCTTAAAACAACAAACATTAACTGTCTTATAGTTTGTGAGGAACAGGAATTCAAGCACAGCATAACTAGGTGCTTCTGGCTCAGTCTCCCATGAGATTGCTGTGTAGCTGGCAGCCAGGCCTGTGGTCTCATCTGAGGACTCTAAAAGGGTGAGGCACTTGCTCCCAAGTTCACACATGTGGTTGGGCAGTCCTCAGTCCTCACAACATGTGATCCAATTAAGAGAGAACAAGAAAGGGTCCCCAAAATGGAAGCCACAGACTTTTCACAACTTAGGTTCAGAAGTGATACCCCATCACTTCTGCCATATTCTGTTCATTAGATGTGAGTCAGTAAATCCAGTCTATACTCAAGAGGAGAGGATTACACAAGGGGATAAACAACAGGAGGTAAGATTATTGAGGCCCATTTTAGAGGCTACCTACCATATTTACCCAAACATAATGCATCTTGTTTTGGTAAGTGGTAAGAAACACTGGGCAACAGATGAGGAAGGAAATTATAAGGACATTTATCTGATTACTTAGTCACTTTTACTTTCTAAAACTTCTCCAAAGTTTTGCTCAAAGTGTCTTCACTGATTAAAACCAGTTTTGATTAATTTTGTAGTCAGTACCTGGATCTTGGCAAGAAAGCTGTGTACAATCAAGGAAATAAAATCTCAGTAGAAGAAAATGAGTTTAGCTGTTTATTTATTTATTTATTTATTTATTGTCAAATTGTTAATGCTCTCATATGCCCATGTTTTTAAAGGGAGAACCAGGTTTCATTGGTCCTCAAGGAGAACCAGGCTTACCAGGTTTACCAGGAACAAAAGTAAGTGGGCCTCTTTCTTTTTCTTCCTTTCCTTCCTTCTTTCCTTCCTTCCTTCCTTCCTTCCTTCTTTCTTTTCTTTTCTTTTCTCTTTCTTTCTTTCTTCTTTCTTCTTTCCTTCTTTCTTCTTTCTCTCTCTGTCTTCCTTCGTTCCTTCTTTCCTTCCTATCTTCCTTCCTTCTTTCTTTCCTTCCTTCCTTTCTCCCTTTCCTTCCTCCCTTCCTTCCTTCCTTCCCTTCGCTTCCCTTCCCTTCCCCTTCCTCTTCCTTTCCTTCCTTCCCTTTTCCTTCCTTCCTTCCTTCCTTCTTACCTTCCTTTCTTCCTTCCCGCCCTCCCTCTCTCTCTCTTTCTTTCTTTCCTTACTTCCTTCTTTCTTTCTTCCTTTCTTTCTCTCTCTTTCCTTCTCTCTTTATTTTCTTTCTTTCTTTTTCCTTCTTTTATTTTCTTTCTTTCTTTTCTTCCTCCCTCCCTCCTTCTTTCCTGCTTGATTTCTTCTTTCTGAAATTTTTGTCATATATTTTTAGTCCACTATGTTGAAAGAAATGTGGGATAACTTCATAATTTAGGTTGCCAGATATTTTTGCCTAATAGAGAATGAAAGCAGCTTAACCTACCTATTACTAACACTTCTAATGGGACCACTGTGTTTAATATTGAGTAGTGGAAAGTTAATTCTAGAAAGCCTTAGGCAAGACAACAGGATGGTGGAATATTTTAATTGTTCCACTTGTCCCCCAAATTGCTCCTAAACTGATAGGATGCTATTAGCCTCCTGGCCATATGAAAAAGTAGAGGAATTCTGAGGAGGAGAGATAGAACTCATTAACTGCTGCTCCTCATCACCATTTTCAGGGTATACTTGTAAATCAAAGGTTATTACAATTCCCATTACCCCTCAGATTTCAAAGGCAAGTACTGATGTCATATAGATTCCTAAGTGCCTCATCCCAAAAGGATCTACTCTGAATAATGTCTGCAAAAATATTCTATAATGAAAACCATCTCATGATCTTCTGCTTGGCAACCCTAGAGAGGGCTCTAAAAGCAAAATCTGTGTGCTGCCATGTAAAAAAAAAAAAATGCTGCTATGAATACAGTCAGACCCAGAGTTCTCTTTTAATCTACCCTGAAAGACATAAAAAGTACAGCTCTGATGATGGAACTTTACTCATGACAGACTCATGAATCAAAGAAGGGGCAAAATTACATCAAACTACATTCTTTTATTTTTAAACCACAGGAGTCTTTGCCTCAATGTGTATTGCATTCAACAGAAATAAGCCAGGGATGATTTCCAAGAGTTGCAGAAATATGTTCATGGTCTGTTCTGACAGAAGGGTCCTCATTTCTTCTGGTCAAGTGAAAATAACTCTAAACCTAGTAAATGGAAACTATGTGTGTCCTAGGGGGGACTGAAACTCCGTCGGATTATGCAAAATTGTTTTCTTAAGAAATTTCTTCACATAATGAGCTGTCAGGCTTATTAACAAAATATGAGGAATGCCTGTTTTAGCCTGAGCAGATTCACACAAGAAATGTCTTTCTGGAATAAAAAGAGAGAGTGAGAGCAAGAAAATAATGAGCGTTCCCTGTTAATACAAGAACTGTTGTATTTATTCAGGCTTGCAGCCTCAGAGCCAGGGGAGGAAAGAAGGCAGCCTCGCAGATGGGCGTGATACACAAAGAAAGGGAGGCCTGGTCAATGAAGGAGAAAGCCAGGCGTGAACTGGATCTAAAAGCGTGTGTGGCATTTTGTGTGCTGTACAAGGGAAAATAGAAAAAACACAAGCAGTAGAGAGTGGAGTTCATTCCTAAATATCTTTTCTTTAGTTACCTGATTTTAAACTATTCTGCAGTTTCAGAAAAAGTTCCAGACATAGAGGCATAAAATCAACATTAATTACTGTTATGAAGAACCTAGCATGATTTTATAGACCAGGTACTCATATAACAGATACTACTCTGAACCCCAAATAAAAGTAAAGAATGTACTGTACCTATTTTGTATTTCCTCTGAGGGGATATGGATAGGAAATTCATTTTACTAACATTACTTTGAGGTTAATTGTCAGCTGAATTACCTACCTTAAATCAGCTGTTAAAACAGCAACATGCACGTGCACATGTATACACACATGAATATTATTTAAATATCTAATTCGTGTTGAATCCACATATGCTAAGTATAAATGTTATGGTTGGTTCAGTATGATAATGGGAAAGTCATGATTATTTTAAAAATCTCTTTTAGCTGAACACCACTCTTCTACTTGTGTAGACAATCTGGATTTATACCACTAAATTCAGATTTAAAAAGTAGCTAAGACTATGTTTCTTATTCCCAACACAGTGAAGAGAGATTATAATCAAGGAAGATGTGTAATGGCATCAAAAAATGCTGCATCTTTTGTACCTACATTAGTACCTGAGAGGGACCTAGATCAGGCTAAGAAAATGGGGGGAGGAGCCTGGGAATGGTGCCTTGCGCCTGTAATCCCAGCACTTTGGGAGGCTGAAGCAGGCAGATTGCTCGAGTCCAGGAGTTTGAGACCAGCCTAGGCAACGTGACGAGACCCCATCTCCACTAAAAATACAAAAATTATCTGGGCATGGTGGCGCATGCCTGTAGTCCCAGCTACTTAGGAGGCTGAGGTGGAAGGATCACCTGAGCCCAGGAGGCAGAGGTTGCAGTGAGCCAAGATCACACCACTGCACCCCAGTCTGAGTGACAGAGTGAGACCCTGCCTAAAAAAAAAAAAAAAGAAAAGAAAAGAAATGGGGCTATAATCAGAATATTTTAGAATACTTTTACTAATACCGTTTATTCATTAATTTGCCAATGTTTTTACCAAATATTTTTCTACATTTAAGCATGGGAAGTAAATGCAACAGCAACAGTTTCTATTCTCCTGAAGCTTACATTGCAGTGTGGGTGAGGAACAGATGGAAGGAGGGAAAGAAGTAAACAAATAAATAATATGATTTCAGAGAGTGATAGGGAACTAATAAGGGATGTAACAAAAAGTGATTCTAGGTGGGTGTGGTGGTGCACACCTGTCATCCTACCTACTCAGGAGGCTCAGGCCAGAGGACTACTTGAGCCCAGGAGTTTGAGGCTGTAGTGTGCTATGATAGTGCCTGTGAATAGCCACTGTACTCCAGCCTAGGCAACATAGCAAGATCCCCTCTCTAAAAATATATAAATGTTAAAAAGTAAAGATGTATAGACTTCATTCTTGTGGCAAACTATAGATAAATGATTTTTAAGGGGTTTTCATAGTGGACTGTTTTAGAATTTTTCTGTAATTCTTAAAGTAAAATATTAAAAGAAACACCAAATACTTTACAGTTTTTTAATAATTTTCATATACCAATAGAAGCTCCTTAGTCTCACTCAACAGGGTAATGGGGTGGGGGATGACAAAAAGCAAAAAGTCCTTTCGTTTCTGGGCCATTGTGTCTATCTCCTGTATCTAGAGAAGTCCCTTATCTTTCTCTCAACCTCTCCATTTTCACAACCTCTTCAGTTGCTGTTGAGAAGCCTACTGAGTCTTTAACTCTTGCCTCCTGTCTTTCTTAACCCTTGACTAACCTATCCCGCCTCCCCTACAAAACCACAAAAGCTTCCCAAAGTGGGCATGATACAGATAAGGATCTTGGAATTTTAAAGCCCTACATGACCCACCACAGATCCAATTCTATTTTCTTATCTTTTCCAAGATGAAGTATTTCCTTCAGTGAGGAGAGCACCTCTTTCATACATAAATATGTCATCAACAGTCTGAATTCTAAATGTTTGATGATTGAAATTCTGCCCCTATGCAAGAAGCCAGACACTCTTTACTCTGTGTTTAGGGAGTATTAAAAGGTACCATCTTCCTGGAGGGCAATTTAGCAAGTTTTTAAAAATACTCATACTTTTTGACCTAGCAATTTTCCAACTAGGAATTTATCCTGAGAAAATGATCAAAGATGTGCAAAGATGTACATTTAAAACATTTATGCAAAAATTGAAGTTTGAGTACAATCAGTTTTACCCACTTTAAAAGCTTTGTGACTTCGAACAAGTTACTTAACCTCTCCAAACTTTGGCTTCCTCATCTGTAGAATATGGATGATAAAACTTTTCTCATCTATCCTGAGGATTAAATAGGATAATGCATGTAAAGTGTTTTGTGCAGTTCCTGCACTCATCCATGCTACAGTCATCAACAGCAACAAGTATGAAATAAACCCTACTCGTACTTCAGGACACAATTCAAGTCTCACTTCCAGGGATCCAATCCACAATAACAGAAATCAATGGGGATTCCCCTTCTGTCATATATGGCCTTATATTACTCGTTAATCCTGAACTATTTTGGGTTTTTGCGGCTCTTGTCTGCCTAACTACATCACTAGGTCCTTGAGGACAGTAGCCATATTTATACTTCACAGAGATATAAATATATTTTAAAAACTGTAAAACCTGTGTGGCTAGCATCATTCTGAACACTTTTACATTCATAAACTATGAGATGAGTACTATTAACTTTGTCCATTTTACAGAGGAAACTGAGGTATACAGAACCTAACTAACTTACCCTAGAACGCAGAATTGATAAATAGCAGAGCCAGGAGTAAAACCTAAGATGCTGGATTACAGAGCCAGGAACTTAACCACTTTGCCATGCTTCTTGCCAGCAGTGCTTAAAAAGTGACTACAGAATGAAAATGGATATTCGTTCCTATTTTGAGGTATAATGATGGTCTTTATCAATTCCATTTAAAGATCTTTCTATTTATCAACATAGCTATTTGACAGGCATTTACCAAACCATTTCCTTATCCATAAAATGGGGATGATAATACAAACATTGGATAATTGCATATTAGTCAAGGTTCTCCAGAGAGACAGAACCAATAGGATATATCCAGGGAGATAGATAGATGAGTGGGGATTTATTAGGGTAATTGGCTCATGCAATTGTGGAGGCTGAGTCCCAGAACAGGCTATCTCCAGGCTGGAGGAGACCCTGGGTTGACAGTAGCATGGCTCAGTCCAAGTTGGAAAGCCTCAGGTCCAGGGAGGCAGATGGTGTAACTTTCAGTCTGAGGCTGAAGGCATGAGAGCCTGAGGGACACTCGTGCAAGTCCCAAAATCCAAAGACAAGAACCTGGAGTTCTGATGTCCCAGGACTGAGAGGAAGAGCTCTCAGCTCCGGAAGAGAGAGTTTGCCTTTCCTCTTCTATCCGGGCCCCCAGCAGATTTAATGGTGCCGCCTCACATTGAAAGTAGATCTTCCTCACTCAGTCAATAGACTCACCCACCAGTCTCCTCCATTAACACCTTCACAGACACACCCAGAAGCAATGCTTTATTATCTTGCTATGTGTCCCTTAATCCAGTCAAGTTGACACCTAAAATTAACCATCACAAATTGTTTTGATTATAAAATGAGATAATTCATGTAAAGAGATTAATAAAATGCTGGGTACTAGGTAAATCAGTGAAAACTCTGCTTTCTTTGGTTTCATTCAACTCATTTATTAATCTACAGGGACCAGCCTGGGTTAGGGGAATGGCCACTTACCTGTTTTGCAATTTGTGACAGGGTGAACGGGGGGAAGCAGGACCTCCTGGAAGAGGTGAGCGAGGGGAACCCGGAGCCCCCGGACCAAAGGTCAGTTATTCTTACATTGGAAAATAACCATTCTCTGGCTTGATTTGACAAAAAACTAAAACATTCTCAACAGGTATTAAAAACCCAAATCACAAATAGTTTGTTGAAATGCGCACCAACTGGTTCTTTTCAAAAGAGATTTTACAATTCATCTCACCCTGTTTACTCTGTTCAGTGAGCAAACTGATAGCATATCCAAATGTAAAAGAAGTGCTGTCATATTAACACATTATCACTCAATGTATATTAAAATGTATATTTTCTCAGTATATTACTGAGAAAAAAATCCCTGTTGATAAGTGCTGTGTTAGTTTCTATGGTAACTTAATGGAGCGTAACACCTTGAAAATATTAGAGCTAAGGACTTATTTGACTGTTTAACCTTATTCATTTAAACTTTCCACAAACTAGTATGGTCACACTTTATTTTAATAGCCCATCCTGGAGACACAGGAAACGATTTACTCTTTGATGAAAAGGAAATTGATGCAGGCCAACACTGTTGAGACTAACGAGAATTGTTCACAGAACTCTTCTCATCCATTGATGGGAGGGCAGCCTTCAGAATAATGGAATGAACTGATGATATAGTGATGATAATTATGTTTAGTATTATAATAACCAACATTCTGTAGAGCCATATATTGAGGCAGTTAAAATAAAGTGTTTCCATTTTTCTTCGTTATTCTGAGTGACTGCTAATTTCTTTTCTTCTGTTCTTATCTCCTCTATAATTTTATCTTTTTCATACTCTTATTCTCCTGTAATAGGGGAAACAAGGTGAATCAGGAAGTAGAGGCCCAAAGGGGTCAAAGGTCAGTAACCAGATAACCATTTAAATATAACATGAGGCCTTCAAGATCTGTGCTTTTTACCTTTGCCACAGAGGCATGTTTTTCATGTTTTAGATTAAACTCTTTCACACAGTGGAATTGCAATACTTACTGCAAAATGGATTGCAGTATCTCTATGATGATATCTCAAAACAATACATTTATTTCATCTTGCTTGTTTTTGCATAGTCTTGTGCTTCAGAAAATTCCTTAAGAAAAGTTGTATTTCCTATTTCATAGGAATAGCTTCTTTGAAAAAAATTAAGAACTTTCCTTAAATTATGTGTTGTATAATCTAATTTTTCATTTCCTGGCTATCTTTGTGATAAATGCTCAAATTATACTCTGCTTTTTAATTGACTGCCTTCATTGCATTAAAATTTTATTGCCAATTGAAATTCTCCTCTATATCATACTCTTTATACTATCTGCAATAACATATATAGTGTCAGCAGAATCATGTTATTTAAAATGCTGTTAGCTACTAACATGGAAAAAAATGTGTGCAAGATGAAGAAAACAGAGAGCAAAGATTATTAATGCTTCATTCATAGCAAATTTATTATGATCAATGTTATTAGCATACTGTGGATGGGAAGAATTATAATCCTTCTTCCTGCTTATCTTTATTCATCTTTACCCAGTTTATGGGAATCTGTAGAAAGACGTATAAAAATGCTTTGAAGTCTATACAGAAAAAGAACCCTATCAATTTAAGGCTGTTTTAAAGAACCTTTAAATCTACACAGGTTGAAATCTCTTCTCCAAAGTTTCAGTTTACATTTCTAAGAATTTTGAGGGCTTAGACTATTCCTCCTGCTCTACAATTGAGGTAATGCCACCATCAATGAAACTTCAGATAAATTTCATATTGCACTGAAAAAAGAGCGTTGGGTTTGCCCTGCCTCTGACCTTCAGCCCTGCCAACCTGTTCCTGCTGGCTGCTGTCCACTTCAGCACTGTCTGAGTGTTAAAATGCCTATACCTACAGATGAACTTTTCCTTAGATTCCCATCATCAGAGGGAGGACTAGCCTGTGACCTTCCTTTCCTACTTCTCCCTAGAATGAGCTCTCTACTCCTTTCCTGTCCCAATTATCTATACTTTTCTTCTCAGAGGAAAAACAACACAATTGTTGGCTCTTTTTCCCTTTGCCCCAAATCTCTTCATAAAAAGGAAGAACATGGCTCAATCTGCAAGGTAAAAACTTGCTTTGGGTGCCATAGAAACCACTTGCTTTGCCTTTGCAGATCCTACCTAGTGAGACAGTTACCATATATATTGTTGTTTCAAGATACTCTATTACCTGAAAAGGGAGTTTTTTTTAAAAAGGGAATTTTAGTTCTTTTCAAGCTGTATCTTAAAAAAAGCATTTGCATTTTGGTGGTGGTTGCTGTTATTTTTCACTTCAGAGGTTCATATTAAAGGTGCTTCTGTATGGTATAAATACATTCTTAGATGAGAGATTTCTCGACTCTCCCACTTCTAATTAAGTTTTTTCTCTTTCCAATGGGAAAAGGGGGATCGTGGAGACAAAGGGGACTCTGGAGCTCAGGGACCAAGGGTGAGTGTTCCTCTCATCCATCTAAACTTTTGCTTCCTACAATCCCAGATTTGAATTCATGTCTGCATGGCTATTCATATGACATCTGTATTAATAATACTCATAATAGTATTGGAGGTAGACTACTGTAATTATTCCTGAAATGCCCCTACCTCCTTTATTTTCCTCACCAGAAGCAGTGATTGTAGAGATTCCAACACATAAACTAAGTTTCTTTGAGAAGGTCTAAAGAACTCCCCGTCTACTTTCCGTCTGTTTCCATCCAGCTAATAGAATTTTCCACTTTTCAATTAACTCAATTATAAAGAAAGCAATAACCCATATGTTCAGCATCCTTTTTAAAAAATGTCAGGGAATTATGACATGACTAATGGAAGTTAAGTAGCAGTTCTAGTAAGTAGGGTAGAAATCTTAAAAATATACATGTATTCTGTTGTTTGTTCCCTATTTGGTTTAATGTGGCATTCATTCCTGATGGGAAAGCCAACATTTTTCTACAGAACAATGTTCTATCTTTTTAAAGAATGAGGGCCAGGTGCAGTGGCTCACACCTGTAATCCTAGCACTTTGGGATACCAATGCTGGTGGATCACCTGAGGTCAGGAGTTCAAAGCCAGCCTGCCCAACATGGTGAAACCCCGTCTCTACTAAAAATAGAAAAATTAGCTGTGCATGGTGGTGCGTGCCTGTAATCCCAGCTACATGGGAGGCTGAGGCAGGAGAATTGCTTGAACCCAGGAGGCAGAGGTTGCAGTGAGCCGAGATCACGCTACTGCATTCCAGCCTGGGCAACAGAGCGAGACTCCATCTCAAAAAAAGAATGAGGAAGCAATATATGAAGTATGGATGAGGAACAAAAGGTTGGAAGATGCTTTAATAAATGTGAATAAAGCAAATAAAATTGCACAGGTCACATCAGGGTAGCCTATATTATAATTTTCAGAAAATAGTTTCAAAAATTAAATTGTTTTTTAATCAGATCTCATATCTTGGACCTACCAAAAACAGGATATAAGAAGTGGTTTTCCTCCTTTGAAATAAGGATACATTTTGAACATAATTATTTATATATTCTAAAGTACAGTTGGGCCTTAGTAGGGAAATGATGGTCAGAGAGACCTGTGAATTGTGTTTCTGTTTCTGCCATAGTCCACCCTATATGCTAAGCTAATACCCATGATTTTCCCTTGATTGGTTTTGTCATAGGGTCCACCTGGTCAAAAAGGGGATCAAGGAGCCACTGAGATCATAGACTACAACGGCAACCTCCACGAAGCCTTACAGGCAAGTGACTGTTCCCTGCCCTGACATACACTGAGAAGGATGCTGAGGAGCACCCATGTAATGTGTGCAAATATGAGCTTCCACACCCTCTATCCTCAGAGGACTCCACTGCTCAAGACACCCCTTCTCCCTGTTCTCAAGAACCCATCCCCTTCTCTCTGCACCAGTTTATCTTCTTTATTTTGTAGCATTTTTCCATCCTTTCTTTCCTTTCCCTTCCACCTTCAGATATAGTTAAGCCTTATGAGGGATAAACCTTGTGTTAGTTTGGCCAAGTTTTGCCTCCTTGCTTGCAGAGGGAGCGTGGCAAGGCAATCAAGAGCTCTGTGCCTCTGGGGCTGGAGCTGCTTGCATTCAAATCTCAGCTCTCTTGCTTACTAAATGTGTGACCTAGGGCAAGTTATTTCACTTCTCTGTGCCTCAGTTTCCCTGTCTACAGAATGAGGATGGTAGCAGTATCTGCCTCATAGCGTTATTGAGAAGACCAAATGGCACAATATATATTATACTGTTAGTATAGGAGTAAGCACATAGTAAGCCCTCTATAAGTATTTCTTATTATTGCTACCATATAATTCTTTTCATCTCATTAAGTAAGCAATCGACTATGTGGCTTGTCTCTATCACCTTTGCTTCCTATTCATTCTTTTCATGTTTAGACTCCTGCATTCTAGCCTTTATCATCATTCTGTTGCCGCTTCTCTTACAAAGGTCAACAATAACCTCTATGTCAAGTCCACTGGACTCATCACCCCTGACCTTTTTGTGATATTCATATCAAACCACCTTCCTTTTGAAGCTTTTTTTGTGTCTCTCTGACCTTCCACTTTCATTTCATTTTTTCCATTTTTCTTCTCTGGCGTATCACCTGTATTTTGGTGTTTCTAATTTCTCTGTCTATTCCCTAGTATCCTCAAATCTCTGATCTTTTCTTGGTACAGCCACTCCCTCTGTGTTCTTCCACATTATGGCTCTCAATTCTTTCATCTCCAGATATAATCTGTGTATGCTCCCAGCTGTCCAAGAATATTTTCATTATGGATGTATGAATGCTTTATCAACTTCCACCAATACACACAATTATACTGGTTACCTTTCCCACCTACGAAATGAGTCCCTTTTTTAAGTAACCGGTTTCTGTTAGTGATACCGTGAATCTGGATTTTGGGGAAATAGAAAGTTTAGAGCCATTTTTAAACTATTCTTAGTCCTTTACTTATTCTATCTCACCAAGGGGCTTCTATTCCCTTTTTCAAAGTATCTCTTGAGATTGCCTGTTCTTTCCATTCCCAACTGAGTCCACATCCTGTTTACTTCATGCCTAATACAGCAACAACTCCCTGACCAATGACTCTTTCCCTAGTACCTCCTTGTCGTTCTAATTCATCTTGTGTATCACTCCAAGATTAATTTTTATAAACGATCATGGCTTTGATGCTTCTAATTTGCTCAGAAACCTAATGACCCCCTTCTGCCTACTCTATCAAGCCAAAGCTTCTCCATCTTAAGCCTCTATAGTCATGCCCTTCCTGTGGAGAACTTTTCATTTCTCCACAGCAAGTCTCCCCTGGAATAATCATTTTTATCATATCCATACAAATCTCCCCCTTTTTGCCTGTGTTCATCCCACTCTTCTTTCCTTTCTTTCCCATATAAATTCTACACATCAATCCACTGCTGCCACTCAAATGAGTGTTCATCCTCTTAATCCTTTAAAACATTAGTAGTGGGGTTCTGGTGGTTTACCATTGAAAATCAAACTCCATAGTTGATTTTAGTCTTAGCTCTTATGAGATTGTAAGCTTGGTGATAGAAAAACATTTTATGCTTATATTGTCTAGATATGTAAATATTAAATAAACGGTTATTGGTTGAATAAGTATACTTAACTCATGTACAAGCCATTTCTTTGCTTGTAAGCCAAATTAGTTGTTTTAAATATTTCTCTGCCACTTTGTACTTGTTTATTTTTCCATCTTTATGATTTTACTAACACAATCTAATTATGACAGATCTGTACCTCTAATAGGTTCTTTGCTACAACTATCATTTTTAACTAGTAGAGTACTAAGTCTTTTTTTTTTTTTTAATCTATCTTCAGCTCAGCCTATTTTTTGGCCTTTTCATTCTTTTTCTTCTGGTAAAATACAAAGGGAAGCATGTTTACTGCTTGGAGAAGTGTTGCTTAGACAGTATCTTTAGTCAAGAGCTTGAATTAGTGTTCCTCTGTGTAACTGGATTCGACGTAATCAGTGGCCTCTGGGCTACTGTCAAGTTCTAGAACTAGTTTTCTAAATTGTTCCCTTTTCCCCACAAGTTGATAACTATTTAAGGAAAGAAAGGGAGACAGAGACAGAGAACACAAAGTTTTGGTGTGCCTACTGTGTTTTCAAAGTTCTTATAAAATATAGGGACTTTTTAAAAACTTAGCTTATTAGCAATGTTGTAAATTGCCCTTGAACTACTTCCAATGGCCCCATAATTCTTGCTACCACCTTTAAGGGGTATCTACTTTCTTATCCTCCGAGAACTGCTCCAATATAATTGGGCATTTTTCTGCAACACTGTGATCAAGTTCTCAAAGCATTCTTTGCATGAACTGGGCCTGGCATGAGGCAAGCTATCCTTAGTCTAAAATGGAAATCTCTATTTTGATCTCCCCTCTATTAGCTCAGTCATTTGGGGGAAATTGCTTACTGTATCTATACTTCATTGATCTTATCTGCAAAATGAGGATGTTATTGGAATAAATGTTTTTCTGTAAGTCCACAAAACCTAATACTATTCTTAGGGTGATTTTTCAGAGCTTCTGAGCACTTTCTACTGACATGCCTAAAAGCATTGTACTTTTTAAAAAATGTGACACCTATATCTCGATATGAAAAGATACCTCTGTTTCTTTTTCTCATCTTTAATTCTATATGACTACAAAACAATCAATATCCCTCACTAGTTCATGCTTATGTCTCAACCTAAAGGTTTATTCTTCTTATGGGGTTGGTTGTTAGGCAACTATTTGCCATGCTTATAGTTATCTTTTCACATCAAAACTATTGGTTTTCCTAACATAGTGCTCTAGTGAATTGAGTCCCTCATAAAATTAATACATCAGATTGAGAAGAGATAGTAGACATTTATTCTTCTAATTCTCTAACTAGTGATGGATATTTACAGTTTTGCAGGTATGTCATTATTACCCCTTTTAAAGCAATCTGCCACAAATACTCTAGGATAATCAGATAAGTAGAAGTATATTACAGTTATAATCATACCATATTAGAAATATAAAATTTGACTATTGCCTCTATTGAAGATTGTGATTTACATAAACATTGCCATAAGCTATTTATTTTTATTTAAGGTGGTTAAATTTCCACAAATTAGCAGTAAAACCTCTGTTTCCTAACTGACTCTTTAAAAAATTCTCATCACCATCTAAACCAAACCTGTTCTCTAGTATGAATCATGGGCGAGTTTAAGCTTTCACCATTATGAGAAATGAAAGAAAATAACCTTTAATTCTAAAGAGATTCAGATAAACATTTCAGGGAATAAATCACAAAGCAGGCTGCTGGGCTTTACGCAATTTGCAGTTTCTATAGTTCATGCCTCCCATTTCACATCGTGTCTCACTAGCGAATGGCATGTCTTTCTCCATCACCACCAAAAATTCTGGTTTTCAATTCATTATTTGAGTTCAGGACAGAATCCTGCTGAGTTTATATAGCTTTAACTTAGATTTGCCACATATCAGAAATGCACAGTGAACCACATCGTTAGGACTTCTCTGTGTGTCTGCATACTGGTGCTTCCAGATGGTGGTCAAGACTATGTATTTGTGAAGTTAGCTCAGCTTATTGTCATTTGTTTTTCTATTAGCTGATGGAACACTATACAATTTTAAAGTTTGACAAACATAGTTATTTAACAAAATCATTTAAACTCCATCTGTTAGGTCAGTTACCATTAATAATAATCTTTTATTTTGCAGCTCATTATTAAACATGTTGTTATCCTTAAATATAAAAAATACAAACTACCATTATGTTCAGGTAAAAAATGAATTAATATATGGCACATGTTGGAAAACCTCAGAGAGCTCAAATTTGAAGCTCCCTTTCCTTTTTAGGGCTTTATGATCCTGTGTTCTAGTTAAAAAGTAACATGTAGGGAGGGCGCGGTGGCTCACGCCTATAATCCCAGCACTTTGGGAGGCTGAGGCGGGCCGATTACGAGGTCAGGAGATGGAGACCATCCTGGCTAATACGGTGAAACCCCGTCTCTACTAAAAATACAAAAAATTAGTCAGGCGTGGTAGCGGGCGCCTGTAGTCCCAGCTACTCGGGTGTCCGAGGCAGGAGAATGGCGTGAACCTGGGAGGTGGAGCTTGCAGTGAGCCGAGATCGCGCCACTGCACTCCAGCCTAGGTGACAGAGCGAGACTCCGTGTCAAAAAAAAAAAAAAAAAAGTAACATGTCATTGGAAGGCAATGATAAAGAAATTATTTCTACTCCTTAATTTTCTAATAGCCTTGTTTAATGACTTATCTGCACTGTAGGAACAACACCAACAAAAAAGTAGCTTTCTCATAACTACAAATCCAGTTCTTGTTCTAGGTGAATCCCTGAAGAATAAACTGAATGGAATTATGTTACACGGATGTGATGGAAAATTCTGGGACCTTACTTTTTCCTTATAACCTTGCCCCCAGTTTGTGAACCTTTTACCTTTTACAACAATTTAAAAAAAAAAAAAACCAGTAACAACAGCTCAAATCAGAAATTGGAGTGGAATAGTAATAGTGGAAAACACAAGGATGGCGTTCAACGGATATCTACAAGTTTAAATGTAATTGAATAATGTTTCTCTATGACCAGAGTCCGTAAAGGAAACGTTCTCCCCTCTGTGAGTTCATAAAGTGGTTATCAACCCCATAGAACTCTCAGCACAGAACTTAGACCAGAAAATGTTAATTCAAAAATATGATTCATGGATCAGGAATTATGTTTTAGAGATTAAGACTTTTGAGACAGTATATTTTGTTACAGTTCTCTAGCACTTTAAGAAGTTAGATTAATTCTTTTGGTATATACCCCAGTAATGGGATTTCTGGGTGAAATGGTATTTCTAGTTCTAGATCCTTGAGGAATTGCCACACTGTCTTCCACAATGGTTGAACTAAATTACAGTCCCACCAACAGTGTAAAAGTGTTCCTATTTCTCCACATCCTTTTCAGCATCTGTTGTTTCCTGACTTTTTAATGATTGCAATTCTAACTGGCATGAGATGGTATCTCATTGTGGTTTTGATTTTCATTTCTCTAATGACCAGTGATGATGAGCTTTTTTTCATATGTTTGTTGGCCACATAAATGTCTTCTTTTGAAAAGCGTCTGTTCATATCCTTTGCCCACCTTTTGATGGGGTTGGTTTTTTTCTTATAAATTTAAGTTCTTTGTAGATTCTGGGTATTAGCCCTTTGTCAAATGAATAGATTGCAAAAACTTTCTCCCATTCTGTAGGTTTCCTGTTCATTCTGATGATAGTGTCTTTTGCTGTGCAGAAGCTCTTTAGTTTAATTAGATCCCATTTATCCATTTTGGCTCTTGTTGCCATTGCTTTTGGTGTTTTAGTCATGAAGTCTTTGCCCTTGCCTATGTCCTGAATGGTATTGCCTAGGTTTTCTTCTAGGGTTTTTACAGTTTTAGGTCTTACATTTAAATCTTTAATCCATCTTGAGTTAATTTTTGTATAAGGTATAAGGAAGGGGTCCAGTTTCAGTTTTCTGCATATGGCTAGCCAGTTTTCCCAACACCATTTATTAAATAGGGAATCCTTTCCCCATTGCTTGTTTTGTCAGGTTTGTCAAAGATCAGATGGCTGTAGATGTGTGGTGATATTTCTGAGGCCTCTGTTCTGTTCCACTGGTCTAGATATCTGTTTTGGTACCAGTCTACTTATGTTTTGGTACCAGCACACGTATGTTTATTGCAGCACTATTCACAATAGCAAAGACTTGGAACCAACCCAAATACCCATCAATGATAGACTGGATAAAGAAAAAGTGGCACATATACACCATGGAATACTATGCAGCCATAAAAAAGAATGAGTTCATGTCCTTTGCAGGAATGTGGATGAACCTGGAAACCATCATTCTCAGCAAACTAACCCAGGAACAGAAAACCAAACACCGCATGTTCTTACTCATAAGTGGGAGCTGAACAATGAAAACATATGAGCACAGGGAGGGGAACATCACACACTGGGGCATGTCAGGGAATGGGGGGCAAGGGGAGGGATAGCATTAGGAGAAATACCTAATGTAGATGATGAGTTGATGGGTGCAGCAAACCACGATGACGCATGTATACCTATGTAACAAATGTGCATGTTCTGCACATGTATCCCAGAACTTAAGTATAATAAATCAAGCAATCAATTTTAAAAACTCATTTGTTTTTCTGATTAAGTTCACAAAAAAATGGAATGCCAAAAAAAAAAGAAATTAGATTAATTCCATGTCGACTAATATCTTTAGTCATGGAACACACACACACACACACACACACACACACAGAGTTAGTTTTAATGCAACAAATGGGCTGCAGACTAAAAGAGAAAAATATACAGTTGGGTATTTCTGTTTTTCATAATGAAGTGCTCTCTAGAATAGAGCTTTTATCAATAGCAAAATTTCTCAGTTCACAATTATACTGACAAGCCTCTAGCATATACAACTTTACTGCATAATTTTTTCAATCAGGTGAATTAAAATTTTGACATTCTTTTTCTTCAGCTATAGGTTTTTAAAATAGGATTCTAAAAATAATTTTTAAAAAATCTCTACAACTATACTGTATTGAAGATAGGAAAATATGTTCTCAGTATCTTGTCAACTCCTTCTAAGATCACAGTAGCCAAAACATATTCAAAAAGTTGATTATTTCACAAATGTATTACTGTACTTTGGCACACAAAATAGATAACTCTGTCTTTGTCAATACATTTTCCCAACAGAGGATTACCACGTTAACTGTCACGGTAACTCCTATTGCATGCTTTCTGTGGTTTGTGGTTTTGTATTTGGTATTGATGCATGCCAGTCAAAATGGTACTAATGTAGCTATTGTTTTTATCTGATACTTAATTTTATGTTTTCTTGTATTAACCATCTTTTACATTTGCTCCAGTTGAATCACTTTGTCTGCTTAGTGAAAAGGTCAAGAAAAAAAGTGATTGCTAATTTTCTTAAAAGTCTCTGGCCTTATCTAAACAATATAGCTTTATTCTGTAGGGTCTGGGAAATCAAAGTCTTTGGGGTGGAGGGGCAAGGAGCGTATGTAGAAACAAAGCTAATATTCATAGGCTAATTCATCCCAATAGGATAAGTGTGGAGCATGGCAGCAATTTTACATTGCCTTACCGAATCTACCCAAAAGACCTTCCATCTTATCTTTACCTCAAATGTGTTCATATGTTAGTATATAAATAGGTGGGTTTTTCTAATTATGTAACTAGTAAAAATTTTTCCTCATTGCAAATTTATATTTGGGGATATCTGATTACGATAGAAATAAGGGAAGTGTATAGTGTGCCTATTTAAGGCATGAATTTTGATATATATAATTACTACTTTTAAAAACTGTGCTTTTTCTTGATTTAGGGTCCTCCTGGGCCTCCTGGACCTCAAGGACTACAAGGGCCAAAGGTTATTGTTTATTTACTTGTTTCCATTTATCACATACAGTGCAGACAATCCCACATTAAGTATATGCAACTTTGAAAATCAGTCTTACAAAATGCTGAAGAAACTGAGATCGGCAATATTGTTTTAGAGAGTGAAGAAAGGAAATTGAGGTCTGGACTAAAGGAAGATAGAAATTAGAAAAGAATTAGGGAAAATAGGAAAAGAAGAGAGAGAAATTTAATTTAGGGGAAGACATTGAGAAAAAGAATATTAAACAAGGGAAAACAGTTCCACAGAAATTATAAATGTAAGAAACACTAAATGTGGTGTATGAAAAAAAGAAAATATTTAATTAAAGGAGGGTTGGAGAAAATTTAATTTGACACCAAGAAAGATCCTTGCTTTCTAATGCTTTTCTAATAAAAAGAGTAAGGGAAGTTTTAGTATGGTGCATTCACAAATCAAAACTTTAGGGATCATTTTTCATAATGCAGTCTTTATTATTTACTTTCAGACATTTTGCCATTTAAATCTTATCTAATGAAACATACCAACTAAAAATAGTAGAAGGCTAGAATTGCTTGCTTATATCTAAACTTTGTTGATGGCTGTATCCCTCCAAACTGATGCTTAGTCATTCAACCATGTTTGATCAATTAACACATGGCCAGTGATTCTGGCTTTTCAGAACTGAGCTACATGTGTTGAAATATGACTTTCGTCATTGGATTCTTGTAGGAGATTCAAGTTATTTCAAAATTCATCTTTTGTTTACGCTTCTTAGGGCAGTTTATTTGGTAAGTCTATCATAACACACACGCACACATACCAGCTTTCATACTCTCTCAAGATACTTACAAACAGAAATCTAGTATATAGAAAATTTATTTTTCTATTATATAAAGGAATATAAATTACAATATTACTGAGCTCCTTGCCTATATATTTAGAACATAGATCCTAATTTCAAATAGATTTCATGTGTAACATTAATATAAGGTGTGGGATTTTTAACTTTCTATTTCTCCAGCACATTCTTGTCCCTAAGAGACATAACACAAAAAATTATACATAATCTTTATTCTTGGTGAACAACACTGCCTGGACCCCCATTCAGTAATATCTTGGTGAACTGGACTAGATATCCTAGAAGGAAATCTGCAATTTCTTTTTTCCTTTGTGTAGAACCAACCAAGGGTCTAAGTTCATTATTTCACCTCCTCACTTGACTAAGACTCCAGAACCAAAATTGTCCCCAAAGCTAAATACATATCTCATTTCCCACAAACCTCAAAAGTTTCTAGGACTTTTCTCAACAGTCCAAAGGCCTAGAGAAGCCCCAAAGGCACACATTCTTTGACCCAAGGAGGCATAAAGGACCTCCTAGGTTAAAAAAAAAAAAAAAAAAAAAAAAGCTGTATCACTAAAACCTGTATTCCCCTGGTTTTTACAATCCAATTGCTATTCATGTCTTAATTCAGCTATTCAGTAAGTAATTTTTGAGCCTCCACTCTATGGTAAGGACTAATATCTAGTAAGGATACTAGAAAGAAATTCCAATAAAGGGCTTATCGCCTAGGGAGGGAGATAGGCAAGTAAAGGTACAATTGTTAATAGAGTGAGTGCATAGAAGGTCCCTCTAAGTCTTAAGAGCCAAGTGCGGCTTTGAGTTGAAACTGAAAGACAGGAAGAAGTTGCCCAGATGAATATCTAGACAAGCAATATGGAGGAGGGTTGAGTCATTCTCGCTTACCTCCTACCCTTGCCATCCTTCCCAGTATGCTATCATCCCTCCCCCACCCACCCCACAATGGTCTTATAATTGAGATCTTGTGTTAGCTGATATAGTCCTTTATGTGTTTCATGATCTGTCCTTGAGAAGGTTGGGATAATTGGGGTGGAATGTAGCTATGACCAAGCGACAGCAAAATGTAGCCTGAGTCAAGTATAGAACCGCTTCTAATCTTGGAACTCAGACTGAATGGGAACTTACTCAATTAGCATTTCTCCTTCATTTATCACACAAGAATTGTTTGATTCCCTACACATCAAATAACTCTTACAAACCCCATTTGAGAGGTGAAGGATAAATGAATAACTCATGAATTATGTTCTCCTTTTAAACACTTGTGAGTCATATTTTAAAGGGAAAAGCCTAGCAAAGCCATCATTATTGGACCCACAGTGCTGACAAGTATTCAGACTCTGAATGAAACTAGGGCTTAGCCAGGTGCATCCAACCTCAGCAGACTTGTTTGTGGCAAAATAAACTTTGCTGCTACCACAAAGAGCAGGAAATCTGAAATAAGAAAAGGCCCTTCCCCCACTGCTTTTCTTGCTTCATTTGTTTATAACCACAAGATCATACCTTCCTTAAACACTGGAAAGATCAAATTTCATGCTGTACCTCATAGCTCTTAAAGTTTTTACCAGGGAAAGGAGCTCTAGCCATTTCAATATTGTCGTTTATAGTATCACCAAACAGGCCTTTCTAGAAAATATAGGCTCAGGTCAGCTCTGTTGGAAATCTGTCTGTGAGGCAGGCCTCTCACACTCAGAAGAGCTGTTTTTACAAAGTTTCCACAGTGTGGGATTCAGGGATATTTGTAATGGGATCCACATAAATGACTCATTGATACAAAATAATACTTACTTTTCAAGGAATTTTTTTAGTCACTTTTCAAAACTGAAAGGTGACTAAACATTCGCTGTTCGATTAACTTTCTGGCATATTGTATAAATTTGCTTTTAATGGAACATCTTCAGTTTGAAAAGGCAAACAAAAATCTCTATATTTTGAGTTTGTCAAAAATCTTTATAAATCATAACATGAATAGTAAATATTAGTTCATTCATGGCACAGTATAAGAAATTGAATTGATTCAAAAGTAATTTTATGTAGATTAAGATATCTGATTTATGATATCCTTCAGTGAGGCTTTTCTGGAAATTGCACACTCACAATCATGAATTTGTAACTAACTGTTTGAACTGTGCCAATTAAAATATTGTTGCAAATTCATGAGGCTTTGCATTTTATTTTTTTAGGTTAACTGTTATGTTTTCCTTTTTACTGAAATTGGAAAGTAAGAGAAATCATACAGAGGTTGTATGAAGAAAAAAGTTAACTAACTGAGGCAGATAGGTTGTTGTTATAGGATATGGTCAGCTATCAAATTATGTCTATCAGTTTTCTTTGACCACTCTGTTTTAACCTGCATCTCACATGGAGAAAAAATAAAAACACTAAAAGCATTGGATCTTAGCTACATATAAATACTATACATAATCTTGAAGAAAGATTATTACTTCCCTTAGTTTAGATATGTGCTATAACAGAATATTCTCGGGTTATGATGCATTTGCTGAAAGTCAAATTGTACTGTTAACCAACTAGCATTGTTTTTTTTATGTAGTGCAGTATGTTAACAATGAGAATGGAAGCAAGTCATCTATTTTTACCTTAACAGGGAGAGCAAGGATTTCCAGGAATCCCAGGAATGGATGGAGAGCAGGTAATTTTCATGGATATATACTATTATTCAAAGCATCATTCTTGATTACTACTTTTATTGTAGGTTTGAAGCCAAAATGTCATGAGCATTGATATTTGATACCTTCTTTCTTTTAACCCTTTGTTCTAGAGACTTCATTGACTCTAAAAAGCAATTAGTTTGAAATTAGACCTTAGTTTTCTTTGCAGAAATATCTAAGCCATATGATACTTTAGTCTGGTTCTTAATACCTTATATCAACCTACCAGTGACTCCCCTGCAAATTTTTAGTAGACTTGTAAAATCATTACGAAGTTAATAAAACCAGCCTAATTTTTGTCAGTTAATACAAATATGTCAAGATTCAAATCAGTGACGATAGCTTCCACAAAACTAAATCTTGCCTATATGCCTTATTTAGACAACGTTTTCCTTTCCCAAATAAAGATGACACCTAATCCCTAGATCCTTAGAAAATACAGAAACAGGCCGGGAAGTTGTAGCTTGGCAGAATATGGTAGTATATCTCTGAGGGTTCCCCCTAAAACAGAAGTCGGTAAGCTTGGTTAATAAAAGTCCAGATAGTAAATGCTTTAGGCTTTACAGGCCACATACACTCTGTGCTGAACTTTCCTTTTTATTTATTTATTTTTGGTTAACACCTCAACATTTTTTTTTTTAATTCACTCTGTACAAAAACAATCCCTGGGATGGATTTGGCCTGTGAGCCATGGTTTGGCGACCCCTGCCCTAAAAGAATCTGAGCTGGAGAACATGGACAGTATTCAGAATTTGGAATGGAATCAAAAGGGTTCATTTCAAGATCTTTTGTGTTTTCTTAGTTTCCATTATTTACCCGAGAAATGGCTAAAATCAGGAAAATCATAAGAAATCAAAAGGATTCTTAATAACAGCTAGTGAACATGTACTCCTTAGAAGAAAGTATTAGATAGGAAAATTAGGTTTAAGAGATGTTATTTTTAATATCAGAGTTATATGTTGAAACAATAATAATGCCATATTAAGTGAACGTGATAAAAAAAAAACATAGATACCTTAGATGATTTGCTATATCATAGATCACTTAGAATTTTAAAGTCTGTCTATGTTCCTTCTCTGACCATTGGTCATTATAAGTAATTAATTTGACATGCATAATGATATACAATGTGACTCCTACAGATAGAGCAGCTAGCTTTTTTTTTTTTTTTTCTATAGGCTTTGCAAGGTCTTCTTCTGTCACTAAGTTGCCGTCTGGCTGCTCTCTGTTAGTAGATCCCTAAAAATAATCCAGGTGTTTTTAATCAGTAAGATCCATCTATTCATTCAGGCATCTACTCACTCAGTGGGTAATTCTGAACTAGGTACTATTAAATAGGTACAGTTAACAAGAAAAGTTCCTTTCCATAAATGATTTTTCTCCATGAATAGTTTTTAATAAAGAAAAGATAAACAGGTTTGTGCAGCCTAGAAGCCCCTTACCATAATAACTATGATCATCTCTACTGAAGAATGAGCCATCAGTATATTGAAGTGAGTTTCCTAGGATGAAAATGCTTAAAAATATAAATTAATGTCAGTACTAATATTATAAAATTCAGGCCAGGCATGGTGGCTCATGCCTGTAATCTCAGCACTTTGGGAGGCCACGGTGGGCAGATCACCTGAGGTCAGGAGTTTGAGACCAGCCTGGCCAACATGGTGAAACCTCGTCTCTACTAAAAGTACAAAAATTAGCTGGGCATAGTGGCGCATGCCTGTAGTCCCAGCTACTTGGAAGGCTGAAGCAGGAGAATGGCTTGAACCTGGGAGCCAGAGGTTGCAGTGAGCCAAGATCACGCCATTGCAGTCCAGCCTGGGTGACAGAGTGAGACTCCGACTCAAAAAAAAAAAAAAATTACAAAATTCAGATTTGTTAACATTCAAAATCCATATTTATTTCCTCACTGTAAAGGAGAATAAAAATAACATTCTGGCTCACCTCATAGAGACATCATGAGAACAAAATAAGAACACTGTGAAGAGGTTGTCATACTTTTAAGCATTGATTGAGCATTAGTGTGCGGTAAGTGATCCAGTGATTTACCAGTCTGTAGACTGGACCATTGCAAACTGATGGTGACTGGAACTTCTGCCTGCAGTTAGGAGGGAGGGGAGTATAGTGGATAGAGATGAGAGAAATTTTTCTGGACATTTGTTATTATATAAAACTAGGTCCCGGTTCAGAATACATCCTGTATTGTTGAGAATGAAATCTATTAAGTTGTTTTCAGGTGTGGTGAGATAGAATTAGCTGCCAGGTAAAAATACAAAATCAGGAGAAATTATGTGAAAACCTAAGTTCATGTTTTTCATACTTAAATGGTCTAATAGAACTTAATCTATTTCATTATAGGGAGAAATAGTACTGATTGCATGTAGAAGGGTGCTGTAAGAAATAACTCGACCTAAAAACAAAAATCAGAATCATCTCAACATGGAACCCACCTACTAATGAAATTGATCCGGAATTCTATTTTCCCTAGGATGTAATTATCAGGGGTCAGTATGCTGCTTACATGCCAACCCTATCTATCATTTTTAGGGACTCAAAGGCTCAAAGGGAGACATGGGGGACCCAGGTATGACAGGCGAAAAAGGAGGAATTGGACTTCCTGGATTACCGGTATGTTTATAGTTTTCGTTTGTTTATACTTTTTATGTTATGTTCTTATTAAGGTAAATTAAACAATCGGAAAAGAGTTATATCATTAGCTGCAGTCTCATCTAGTGGTTCATCTAATATTTTTATTTTGAAATATTTGAGGGGTATTATTGGTTAATTACTCTAGGGAACTCAAATTGTAAAGCTTGTAACCAAATGAATTATAAAGTAAGCCTTCATGTTTTCCTGAATTGTTTTCCTTAGAAGATAATAAAATAAACATAGTTGGCCACTTTAATTTAGTATGCATAAGATGGTATTAACTGGTTATTATGAAATAAACCATAATAAAGAAATGAGCCAAAAAATACAGGACAATTAAAAAGCAAATTTCTCTGGAAAGTGTCCTCTGTGTGTATGATACTATGGGATGGTATTTTGTGGTTTTCCCCATAATTCTAACCCAGAATTTGGAGGAGAAAATGTAAAAATTGTTTTAAAAAATGCAGTAAACTACACTGCCTTAGACTTTTTTATAAAACAAGGAAGTATATAAATGTCAATAAAAACTAAGTTAAAAGACTTACCTTTGCTGTTTAAATTGCACACCACCATAAAAGATATAACATTTATAACTCAATATATTTAACACCGTAGGACTTTAACCAATCAAGCTCAAGCCAGTTTGTATTTACTTTATATTTTATTTTACATATCACCCATAATCCTAGAGATTTTAGTAAAGTTGCTATTTTAAGCTAGAATGCAAGGAGATAAATCCTTCTTTTATGTAGCAAGTGCATAATATTATAAAATGTCAAGAGAACAATGGGATTGGGGAGAAAATTCAGTTGTCTCTTACACTGGAAATAACTTTATCTGCTTAACCCTGCTACTGGTTGTTTGTAGGGAGCCAATGGAATGAAAGGAGAAAAAGGAGATTCTGGAATGCCAGGTCCACAGGGTCCTTCTGTAAGTCCATGGTGGCTGAACTTCCATGGTTCCTGAGCCTCCTCACACGCTGACCTGTTACTTACCTATACCACCTCTGCCAGATGACTGAAAAACAGTAGACAGACCTCAAACTTCTTGGTTTGTCAAACTGTAGAAGAAACATCCATCAGCCTTGCACAGTGAGAGACAAAGTATATCAGAGGTCTGAGGTAGAAGCAGGTTTTCAGAGGACTGTCTAATCCTGAGGAAAAAAAATCAATGGTTTTCTCATAACAATGGATAGATCTTTGTTAATATAGAACATACTTGTTTGTTTCTCCAGAGTCCTGCTTATGCTTAGTGAAATATTTGAGTTTGATAGTAGTGACATTATAGCGTTTCTTGGTAATCAGTTGCTTCCTTTTCTTTTAACATACTTTTGATTTATTCTGGCTTTTGTAGAACTTTTTTTTTTTTTTGAGTATTTTTTTAATTCTCACAAGGGAATTTCTAAATCTAGAGAATCAAACACATCACTTATTCCAGTATCTTTCTTCCTCTGCAACTACTAATGGCCTTAGCAGAACCCCAGCACAAGATTCAAGTTGAACTGCCTTATCTAAATGAAGTAACCAAAAACATTTTTATTTTTTGGACATACAGATCATAGGCCCACCAGGCCCACCAGGTCCCCATGGCCCACCTGGCCCCATGGTAAGTTTCCCTTCTTTCTAAAATGTAATTGCTTATTTATGAGCATGCTACTAGAGAGAACATGAACACAACCCTCTAAACAGTCAGCTTGTATTTTGTACTACTCTCTGTGGAATGGATGAAAAATACCAGGTGCTTTGAGATATATTAACTTTACAGTGTTGTCATTCATTCTCCCAAACACATATGTTGGGAAGAGATAAGAGTAGTTTCGTGATAGAGGTGAGGAAAGACAGACAGATATAGCAAGCTCTACTACAGCCTTACAGCGTGAACACTGGCAAATCATTTTATCCAGCCGCTGCTCTAATACCAGCAGAATAAGATTTAGAATCAGCTGGACACAATGGCTCATGCCTGTAATCCCAACACTTCGGGAGGCCGAGGTGGGCAGATCATTTGAGGTCAGGAGTTACCAGCCTGGGCAACATGGCAAAAACCCCATCTCTACAAAAAATACAAAAATTAACTGGCCATGGTGGCACATGCCTGTAGTCTCAGCTACTCAGGAGGCTGAGTTGGGAGGATTGCCTGAGCCCAGGGAGGCCGAGGTTGCAGTGAATTGTGATCGTGCCCTTGCACTTCAGCCTGGGAGACAGTGAGACCCTATCTCAAAAATAATAATCATAGTAATAGTAGTAGTAGTAATAGCCATTAAAGAATGATTCTGACAAAGTTTGAGGTTTGAACTCTTTAATGAAATGTTCAGTAGGAACATTTACATATAAGGTATCAAAACATCATATCGTATCCATAAATATAGTTATGTGTCAATTTTAAAAAAGGATATTTGTAAAACAGCATGATAAAAATTGAAGCTTACTTCCTCAGATAACATATATTGGTAGATCTTTTCCTTCTTTCTTTTATGATACTTTGATTGATTCATTGAGCCAGGGCCAGTGTTAACTGCAGGTGTCGTGCAGTGGCCAATGGTGACAGTGACCCTGCCCTGAAGGAACTGATGTCCAGTGAGGAAGGCAGCCATTAAGCAAGTATAATTCTTTAAATGTCAAACCAATGACAGTTGTGTTAAGGTTAGAATGTCAAAGGCAGAGTGCTTCAAATGCTTTTGACTGGAGCAGAATAAGAGCAAGTCAAGCAGGCTAGAAGGTCACATGTGTCTCTCAGGTGTAAATTAATCAAAAGACTTCAGTATTACAGAATAAGTAAATTATGGTCACTCTTTCCTCCCATTGCTCAAGAAAGAGCATTATTGGAATGATCTAAGCCACAGAGCATAGCCAGTCATCCCTTTCTGATTAGCTCCATTTCTATTTTACACCATAAACAATTATTATTGACTTCTTCTCCTTCTTCTCCTTCTCCTTCTTCTTCTTCTTCCTTCTCCTTCCTCCCTCCCTCCCTTTTTCGCTCTTTCTTTCTTTCTCCTTTTTTTTTTTTTTTTTTTTTTTGAGACGAGGTCTCACTCTGTGGCCCAGGCTGGAGTACAGTGGCACGATCATGGCTCACTGCAACCTCTATCTCCTGGGCTCAGGTGATCGTCCCACATCAGCCTCCTGAGTAGCTGGGACTACGGCACATGTCACCAACCACGCCTAGTTAATTTTTGTATTTTTTGAATAGATGAAGTTTCACCACATTGCCCAAGCTGCTTTTGAACTGCTGGACTCAAGTGATACACCCACCTTGGCCTCCCAAAGTGCTAGGATTACAGGTGTGAGCCACCTCACCCAGTGTGACCTTATTTTCTTAAAACTAGATGGTTCATTAAGAATTAAGCAAATGGCATACTTTTGGCTTTTTTTTTTAAATACCTCCTCTACTATAAGATAGAAAGTTAAATTAGAAAATGCTACAGCCTGTTCATATCATAAAATTAATTAGTTTAGAGGAATTTTAAGCCATTATTAAAATGAGATAAGAATACCTGATAAAGTAACAGCCATTTCCTGAAAATGCTTACCTGAAACTTATCGAAAAGGAAAATATTATTCTAATGTGGACATATGTAACAAATATATAGGCATTGCTTAATATAAATTTTTCCTGAAGTTTTATAATTTTACTGATGGATATTTAAATACTCCTTTCTCCAGTTTGTTTAAATCTCTTGAAATGTTTACAGCAATCCACAGTAACCTTAGTTAATTTAAGTTGACTAGTCTGTATATTTAGATTTTCTACAAAATACGTGTTTTATAATCCTGAGTCATGCATGCATTATGACTTTCTTCCACCGATAAACAATTATTACAAGAACTTTGAAGAATTTGTTTTTGTAAAAATAAATGCAATCTAAATAATAATGCTTAGCTTTCCTACATAACAATTTTTTCTTTAATCTTAAATAAATGATGCTCCAGAATCCCAAACTTGGGTGTCATCTCCTCACTTCCTGTCTTCTTTAGATTATTCAGCACCTTGGGTCTGGAAGAGTTAATGGAAAACCTCTCCTCTTCCCTGTCACTTAAAATCTGGGGCTTCTCTTGGGCAAATTTCTCTTCAAAGTCATATTTTTATTTCATTTGAACTCATGAAGCATCTTGCTTATTCCACTCAGACTTTTTAATGGTAATTTGAAAAAATTACCATTTAAAAAAAAAAGGAGAAAGAAAGAAGAGAAAGAAAGAAAGAAAGAAAGAGAGAGAAAGGGAGGGAGGGAGGAAGAAGAAGAAGGAGAAGGAGAAGAAGTCAATAATAATTGTTTATGGTATAAAATAGAAATGGAGCTAGTCAGAAAGGGATGACTGGCTATGCTCTGTGACTTAGATCATTCCAATAATGCTCTTTCTTGAGCAATGGGAGGAAAGAGTGACCATAATTTACTTCTTCAGAATACCATTTTTTCCTACTTCTTTCTTCCATGTAACCCTGGCGGATTTCTCCCTCCTCAAAGGTATTAGCAGACAGAATTGCTATTAATGAATTTCCTATTATAGAGCAATCCAAGAACTGGCAGGAACTTTTGGTAGGTAATAAATAATATCCACTAGCCTGCCTCTAGCTATAGCTCAAACAAGAAGATTCTTGTCTTACATCTCTTTTGTTACGTGATATAATATTCACTCCTGCTGGGAAACAGAGAATCAATTCTTAATTAAAAGCTCTGTTTTCCATTTTCAGGGACCTCATGGACTTCCTGGACCAAAGGTAATCCAACAAATCCCTTGATTATTTGATTTCTGCTTCCTTGATAATCATGGAGAAGCATGACAGAAGCATGTCTGTCCTGTCTTATTTGTCAAGTAATGTTGATAATCTTTGAGCCTTTAAGCATCCAGATGTTTAAATCTCATAACACAAAATGACTTATAACAAATTTAAGTGATCACCTGGAGATAAATTATTCCTCATTTTGCCTTTTTCCTGGTTACTATGTAAGCTTCTCAAATTATGAATCATAATGTACTCAAGTCAACCATTTAGAAGTGAATCTGATGAGATTCTCAGACTAGTCTAGATGCTTTTTTTAATGGTGTCTCTAGCTGTATATTTGGATGTTAGTAATTGATATTTCTTGCTTGCCATGTAGTCATACCACATCTAAATGCTTTGCCTCTCCAGCATCTTAATTTTGTATTTGCCCAGAGGTCATTGGTCTAGAAGTGGGTGGGGTATTTCAGGTGTGCTATACTGGGAAGAAGATCACAGCACTTACATGCATTCTATACTTTTGGGTTAAAAAGAGAACATGGGAGAAAAGCTCCTCTTTGTCAGAATTAGTGTAGCTTGCATGATGAAGATGGTCTCCACCTGTCCTTTGCCTTAGTCTAGACCGAGAGGACGTCCCAGTAGATTAAAATAAGCCCTGAAAGACAAGCTCCCCCTTTCAGGGAACATATGTGATAAAGACTTATGTTCTAATCTCAATCTTGCCAGGCTGTATCACTTTGAGCAGATTATGGACCCTCTCTGATCCTTTATTTACTCAACTGGGTAACTCACCTTACAGTGCTGTGATAACTTAATGAGGTATGATTATGAAACACTTAGCAAAATATCTGGTGCAGCTGTTGATAAATATCAAAAGACAGCTGTTATTGTTGCTATGTGATACTTGGTTCTGAACAGAAAAATTCTATAACTCATCCTCAAGCCTGCTTGAAAGAAGGTTCATGAACTCCTGAGAGTGCCTCAGTAGTGAGCTGGTGCAACTAACAGGTAGGGGCTGGGAAGACACATAAAGGCAATGTTGGCACTAGGTGTCACGAAGCCCAGAGGCAGGCCACTGTCTCCTCGGGGGAGGCTAGCTCTCTTTAGCCCACGCAGCTCTAGGGATGGTGGCAGGTATTGGTCTGACTCAGAAAATCTGGGTTTCCTTTTCCCAGTCAGGCAGGTGACACCCAGGAATGGGAGAAGTTCACGCCTCTTTATTCTTCTTAGACTACCTTACCTTCCAATAAGGCCAGTGAGTTAACAGTATCTCAGAAGCACCAATTAGACTCTGGGGTGAGAGTACTATCTGGGGGAGTCAGAAAACAGGAGCACCATCTATCAGCTTTGTGATCTTAGTAGTTGTTTAATCTCTCTCAGCCTTTTTCCCCATCTGGACAAAATCAGTGCTTCCTACTCTTGGATTTTTTGTTTGTTTGTTTGTTTGTTTTTTGAGATGGCATTTCGCTCTTGTTTCCCAGGCTGGAGAGCAATGGTGCAGTCTCGGCTCACTGCAACCTCTGCCTCCTGGGTTCAGGTGATTCTCCTACCTCAGCCTCCCAAGTAGCTGGGATTACAGGCACCCACCACCATGCCCGACTAATTTTTGTATTTTTCGTAGAGACGAGGTTTCACCATGTTGGCCACGCTGGTCTTGAACTCCTGACCCCAGGTGATCCGCCTGCCTTGGCCTCCTATAGTGCTGGGATTATAAGCTTGAGCCACCGCGCCCAGCCCTACTCTTGGATTTTAAGATGCCAACAAAAACCAGCCTGGTCATAATGACTAAGGATAATGTCACCAAGATATTTAATTTCATAAGTGATTCAGATATGCCATCACAGTTGGATTAGGAGATGCCCAAGATGCTTTTGATTTCTAGAATGCAACAATTTATTTTGTCCATACAACTTCAATTCTTACTTAAATCATAAGTTTCAGATATTATAAAGTTGAAAAGACCTCATCGATATCTATGCAAGTTCCCTGATTTCATAGATGATAAACTATAGGCCCAAACAGTTTAGGTTATTTGCCCCAAATTACACAGCTAGTTCATGACACATCTGGGACTAGAACTTAGGTCCAGACTTGATATTTGGTCTTTCTGTCACTGGATTTAACCCCAAGTACCTCAAGACCACTTGCTGAAAGTACACACACATGCAAAGCCACAGATCTCAAATTAGTCACTGACTATTGAGCCTTGGCCTTAATATCGTGTCCTCAATCAGTAGAATTCCCAGGATACTATCTTACCAACAACCGGCACATTTGGACTTGCTAGAGTGGCTGCGCAGCAAACATCCTATCTTCAAAATCCTGGAGTTTTTTTATGCCATGCCAATGTGTTCGTCACTTTGCGACCCCCTTTGAAAGTTCAAATACATAACATGATTCCATGCATGAATCTAGCTCAGTGTTTCCCAGAATTTCCTGATAAGAATCACCTGGGAGGCTTATTAAAGATACCCATTTCTGTGCTACCATGGACTGGGTGGGGCCCTGAACTCTTTATGTTTAACAAGTGCTACACTAACTTACATCATTAGGCAAGTTGAGTAAATACTACCCAGGTTAAAAACCCCTTCTGCCATGTCAGTATAGCCTCTTCCCTTTCCCGTCCCAACCCAGTAAGACTCTATAGGGCATTTGTGTCTGAAATCATCTTTCATTCACAAGTCCTTCAAGATTTTCTTGGCAAATTAATGTCTACACGTAAAAGCTGAAAAGTATACAGGTCAGAACTTGATATCTAACATGTCGTTACTGATGGAAAATAGGTGTACTGTATTTCTTGGTTTTTAAAAATAGAGTCAATAATTTACCATTTACCGTGGCTTTTATAATGTCACCCTGAGTTAAATTCATACTTTCTTTATTCTAACATTGGGCAGATGGATAGTTAGTAAAACTACATTTAAGTTCTTTGATCTTCATATTTTCTCCTGGGATTGGTGATTTGTTGATTAGTCCATGTAGGGATCTGACTTGGCAAGGGCAGTGAATGAGGACTTGCTAAATGGCATTACTTCAAACATCAGCTGCTACATTTTTAGTTCATTCCGTTGGACAACATGCTTAAAGGCTTAAAATATCTGTCTATAACCCTGTCCTGCATATTCCAGTTTTCCATTCCAGCAGAGTGGGTTTTTTTTTTCTTCTACTGAATCTTCTTCAGCATCCTCCACTCGATTGTCTTTGAATTATTTGATCATAAAAATGTGGTATAACATGAATTTCCTTGAGATAGAACTGAAAAATTTAGGAAATCAACCATACATATTTTTATTGTAAGGAGCACACTTTCCTGGGAATTTTGATTTCTAGAATATTAATTGTTGATGTCAGTTTAGTAACTAATTTTAACTTTAAAAATTAATATTTGGTGCAAGACAAATCTAGCCTGACTCTGCTGTTTCCTAAAACTGGAATCTGCAACTATTTCAGAGACTGGCTCTCTTCTCTCACAGTTTAAACACCCATAATAGCAACCAAAATTGGCATTTGCTTTTGCATTTAGGGTGAACCAGGGTTAAATGGTGTTAAAGGATTGAAGGGTGAACCAGGTCAAAAGGGTGACAGAGGACCCCTTGGTCTTCCAGTAAGTAAAGAAAACTTTCCATTTTAGTGCAAATCTCAGATTTTTCTTTCTACCCTACGTGATAACTCTAGTTTACTCAGCAGCTCGTACTGTTGAGGTTTCTGTAATTAGGAAACACATTATGTTCGAGGAGAGCTCAGCTCAGTTTCATGTCTCTGATGCCTGCTTTTCTGTAAGAGGAAGACCCGCAACAAACAATGCTATAAATGTCCTGTCATTCTTCAATTACATACATGCCAACCTTCCTCTTTTAGGGCTGACAATTTTTCTCCCATTATCCCCTTCTTTTAAAAGTGTTGTGCTCATTATTTCATAGTTTCTCCCAAACACTTTTTATAGTCTAGTGCAGTTTAAAATGCCTCCTCAATTGTTTTTTCTCCTTGGATACCAAAAACTGTAGCCCTCAGTTGGTGGCAGGTATGGAATTGGCCATTGTTGATGGCGTGAGGTCAATGCTGTGGCTCCTTACATTAATCAATCATATCATGTTCTATGTGTTTTATGTTGTTCGTTTTGAAAATTCCCTATTATGAGGTTCTTGTGGCAATAGTGAGTAGTATAAAGAAGTATTTTGCAGTTATTTAGAGACTTTTATTTTTCATGAAGAAGGAATCTCCCCCTGGCTCTTCGTTTTCTTTATGTCAGCCTTCTTTCCACAACAACTAAATGGAGATTTTTAAAAAATTGTTATTATGAGGCTTTAATTTCAAGCCTTTAATATGCTTCCTATTAGGTGAATACAGATACAAATCAACAAAGAACAATATAGATTACATGAGTAAAATATGACATAAAATCAGTAGCAGAATATAGTTTATACACAATTTGAAATGTGGGAGGAAAAACAAGCTGATGACCACTTATTTCATTTTTGCCATGGGTATTATACTTTATGCCAGTTGATAGCAAGTGCCTTACATACATCCCACATAGAGTAGATGGTCAGTAGGTATTTATTTATTGAATGACTGATATAAACCTTGTATTAAAATATAGGTTTATTTAATTTATTTATTTTTGAGACAGAGGCTCTCTCTGTCACCGGCTCACCACAACCTCCATCTCCCGGGTTCAAGCAATTCTTGTGCCTCAGCCTCCCGAGTAGCTGGGACTACAAGTGCGCACCACCATGCCCGGCTAAGTTTTCTATTTTTAGTAGAGACGGGGTTTCACCACGTTGGACACGCTGGTCTCAAACTCCTGACCTCAGGTGATCCACCCGCCTCAGCCTCACAAAGTGCTGGTATTATAGGTATGAGCCACCAGCCCAGCCTAGAATATAGGTTTAATCACACCAATTAGATCAATGGACTACAGGCATAAAACCTCTATAATTTATGTGAGTCATTAATTCAGCATTCTAGGTAGATAAATAATAGTATCAGTGTAAAATTATTACAATTTCGCCATTTATTTTCTTTTTTCTTTTTTTGAGACAGTGTCTCACTCTCACCAGGCTAGAGTCTAATGGTACAATCATAGCTCACTGCAGCTTCAAAGTCCTGGGCTCAAGTGATTTATTTTTTTAAATATTTTATAGAGATTGGGTCTTGCCATGTTTCCCACGCTGATCTCTAACTCATGGCCTCAAACAATCTTCCCGCCTCGGCCTCTAAAAGCTCTGGGATTATAGATGTGAGCCACTATGCCTGGCCTACATTTATTTTCAAATGTTATAATAATGGTAACTGAAGAAAGTATCAAAAGGCAAAAGAAAGTTTGGATTTTCTATTTTATTTAAACTTTCAATCTGATTTATTTAAAGTCTGCCCTAATTTAAAATTTAGGGCTATTCATAATTTTTATGCAACATTTAGCTAACAGCTGTACCTATGCTAACCTTAAACAAACAAACGAAGAACAATATACATTTTTATTGTAATTATTGCTAACAAAAGACATATGTAAGGCTGGGCGCAGTGGATCATGCTGTAATCCCAGCACTTTGGGTGGTCGAGGCGGGTGGATCACCAGGTCAGGAGATCAAGACCATCCTGGCTAACAAACCCTGTCTCGACTAAAAGTACAAAAAACTAGCCGGGTGTGGTGGCGGGCGCCTGTAGTCCCAGCTACTTGGGAGGCTGAGGCAGGAGAATGGCATAAACCTGGGAGGTGGAGGTTGCAGTGAGCTGAGATCACACCACAGCACACCAAGTGCTGGTGATCAGTGGAGATCAGGAGTTTGAGACCAGCCAGTGATCTCCCAAAGTGCAGGTGATCAGTGGACATCAGGAGTTTGAGACCAGCCTGGCCAACATGATGAAACCCTGTCTCTACTAAAAACACAAAAATTAGCTGGGTGTGAAGGCGCATGCCTGTAATCCCAGCTACTCGGGAGGCTGAGGCAGGAGAATCGCTTGAACCTGGGAGATGGAGGTTGCAGTGAGCCAAGATTGTGCCATTGCACTTCAGCCTGGGCAACAAGGGTGAAACTCCATCTCAAAAAAAAAAAGTATGTATTTTGCAGTTATAGTATGGCTCATAATAGGATTATACAGAAGAAATTTTAAAATAAAAACTCAAAATACCCAACATGTATATAGAATAACATCATTGGTAGAGTTTTCATCTGGAATTGATTTTTTTTTCCATTTTGTATTATTAACTGCATCTGAAGCATAAAATTGGGAAATAGTTCTGCAATCTTGACAAGAGAATTTTTAGGGCCAGTGCATTTTCTTTCTTAAATACTCCTTGATCTAACCAATATTTTTAAAGGACTATAAATAAATACTTGGGCTTTGAGACACAAAAGCTGTATCAAAGAAATAATTGTGCTTATTCTTGAAACAAACATTGAAAATGCCATTTTTAAATCATACACTGTTTATGTGTAGCCTAGAGTTCAAAGTGAAGAAAAACGTGCATTGTCTGAGAACATTAAATTTTTAAAGTTATTTCCCCAGTCAGGCTTTGATGCAAAGATTATTTGAAGGAATCAAGAAACAATTTAGTTTGGAAGTTATTTTTTGCTTGGTCGCACCAACTGTTTTCTGGCTTTTTCCTTTTCCTAGAAGTCCCTCTAGTGGAAGGTAGTGTGAACAGTAGGAACAAATGAGAAAACAATGAGTAATTATTGTTGATGTAAAATCCACCAAGAGTCATCCTAACATGTGAAAACCCTGCATTTGTTATTCATAAACACTATTTTAACAAGTATAACCAGAGCTCTTTTTTTCTCTCTGAAATGCTAAATTTGATTGATTATTATAATGAGCCCTTTTTTTAGCCCATTCTTTTCTCTTCAGAACCTAAAGAAATATATGGTGAACAGCACAGTCTTTAGAAAATGAATTTCATAGGGAAATTAGATAGAAGCCTGCGACTGTTATGAGTAACTACTTTGTAGCCCAGTTTATACACTTCATTAGCTTGATTTCTAAATAAGAATTTGTCAAATAGAAATGTCATTAAAATACCATCATCTGTGGGGTGTTTGTCATGTGGTTTTTTTTTTTTTTTTAACTAACAATTTGTAGCAATGTGATATTCATCCCAGAACCCTGTAACTGCGTATTATGTTGTTTGAAGTGTTACATTTGTTCATCGGTACCTCATACTAATCTCTGTTCTTGTCATTCGTGTTACACCCACCAACCCTGCTACCAACCAAATCACACAGGGAGCATCTGGCTTAGACGGAAAGCCAGGATCCCGGGTGAGTCAGTCCCTTGTCTTGTTCTGACATGTTTTGTGGCTGTGAATCGTGCACTTCAGGACAGACCCCTTTGCTCCATGTCCTCTCATCAAATGATGAGGGTGTACTTAGAGCTGTCGTAAAAGGGGAAGGTGGACAAAGATGGCCGCAAAGAGGGGAAAGGTGGACAGAGGACGGTTGCAACTCTGTCTGGAGAACAGCTAAACTGCCAGAACGTCTTTCTGAAGCTTGTGTTCAAGTCTGGATAATTTGCTAGGTGGGAAGAATGACCAGACTAATGGGCTTCATTATCTTAGAATCCCAGACGAATTTTTCCAGAACCAGTAGACAGACATCCCCTACAATTCCATGAGAGCGGCCCTCTGAAAAGATTAAAATAATGTGAAATTATTGTAACTTGCTTTTCCTTTTAGACTTATGCCCATCAAATGTAACTTCTTCCTTGGCACTAACTTTCAATTTCTGTTCATAGAAATGACTTGTCTGTCTTCTGTCATTTTGTCTTTTTTTCTTTGGTTCTTAACAGCTCCAGCTCTTAAATTTCAGCCACAAATACTCAGTATTTAGAAGTCTTCTGAACGTGAACTTTGAAATCAGGCAGTAAGAAAAATATCAGTTAAGCTGATGAGAATTCGGCAACATTAGAATGAATTTTAAACTCTGAATTCTATCTTAACACAAGGCTCTAACAGAATAAACCAGAATAGTAGAACAGAAATGGGAATACTAAAGAAAAATCATGCTGAAATAGTTCCTACATTTGCAAATATTATAATCCATTTTGTGTGAATCTAAGCATAGTCATCCTGGAAATGAGCAAGTATACTCGAAGTCCTGGCTACAGTTTTAAGAATCTAAAAGAAATTCCCATCTTTTCAATTCTAAAAACTTATTTCAGGCAGTCATGATTTTCACTGGACCTCAGCGTTCTTATATTCATTCAAATATCACCTCTTCTCCCGCAGAAATCCTAATCCTGAACTAACCAGGGGTACAAAAGGGAATTCCATATTTAAGTTCATCTTGGCTGCCTGGTTTGTGAGTTGTAAGCCTAGTGACCAGCCACTGCCGCAGCATCTATAAGAATGATTCCTTTCCTGTAAGTGCCTGCTGCCCCCAAGAGAGCTGCAGAAAGTTTGGATTGAACAGTTACACACTGTTTTCATTTGCTTCATAATTTTCTTCTACTTGTGTAACTGTTCAAGCCTCTTAAACAGCTGAAAACAAGAGTTCAGAGCTTGCCCGGCTAAGGGTGGCAGTGAGTGTAGAGAAGGGCTTGAGGAAAAGGTGACAGGAAGGAAAAACAATTACATTTTTCTTCTTAGGATTATGGGACAAAGTGAAGATGCTCTATTTATTTATTTATTTATTTATTTATTATTTTTTGACACCGAGTCTCGCCCTGTTGCCCAGGCTGGAGTGCAGTGGCACGATCTTGGCTCACTACAATCTCAGCCTCCTGAGTAGGGGAATACAGGTGCCCACCACCATGCCCAGTTAATTTTTGTGTTTTTAATAGAGACGAGGTTTCACCATGTTGGCCAGCCTGGCTGGCCTCAAACTCCTGACCTCAGATGATCCACCCACCTCAGCCTCCCAAAGTGCTGGGATTACAGGCTTGAGCTACTGCACCCGGCCAATGATGCTTTATTTAGTCAGAGGAAAAAGATATAATTAAATATGATATGCAGCTTTTTGTGTGTACCTTTCATTGAAACATGCAGTTATATAATTCATCCTTTTTGCATGAGTTTCTTGAAAACCGCTGGCCTGAAATAATCAAGCATGAAGCACTTTGAAAGGAGATGAGTTGTCTTACTGGTATTCTTAGGCACCATTCACCTAGGAAAAATTCAGGATAAATTATAACTGCTATTCCTGCAGCCCTTGTGATATATCTCATATTATCTTTTTTTTTTTTTAGGGAACAGATGGTCCTATGGGACCCCATGGCCCTGCAGGTCCCAAAGGAGAAAGAGTAAGTTGTTGCTGAGGTTATGAAGCTTGTACTAAAGAAAACACAGAGCATGGCTTTTCCATATTAGTTGAACTGTTCATTTTTCAGAAGAAATAAAGGGCTATCTAATATTAAATAAAAAGAGATACCATCCTAAGTTCTATTCAGAGTCCTAATATTGAGAGAAGAAAACCACAGAGCATAAAATAGGACATGGCTGCCTTAATAAAAACAACACATACATTTACATAGCTAAAATAAATAGCTCAGATGATTCTTCCTTCACCCATAAGGAAGATATTTTCATTTGGCCTTCATCCAGAAAGTTGAAGTCAATGGAGCTAAAATTTCCAGGAGTATGTATTCTGGTTGATAATCTTTTATATAAAGCTACTGTACTCATTCAGAGTAGCTTATAACTTTTTTCCAAAGGAAATAATGAAACCTAAGTATTCTTTTCTGCACAGTTACACATGCTCCCCCTTTTTTAAAGCTAAAGGATAGGCTGTTTTTCTTTAACCATAAGGAAAAAATTTCAGTGCATTATAAAACAAAAACCTTTCACTAACCTCTCTATTGCTAGGCCACGTTTCCATATCTTTTGGGGAAAAAAAAAAAGACATTCAGAATGGAAGATAAATGGTCATCTACCTGAAACTTTCTTCTCTCTTCTCCCTCTCATGCTCGCGCTCTCTCGCGCTCTCTCTCTCTTTCTCTTTGTTTTTCTCCCACTATTTCTTTTCCTCACCTTGGAAATCTTAGAAGTATTTTTGTGTGTCTGAGTGGAATTATGTCATCAGTTTCCCTACCATCCAGGACAGGATATAAAGAAAGTATTTTAATAGTGAGGGCTTCAAAATGTTGGAATGATTCACTGTGCAAGTTTGTGGTCTTTTGAAAACTAGATGGATTTCATCAGTCTGGGATAATTTGCTTTAAAAAAAGAGGGCCAGTAGTCATTTCTTTAACATACCTTCCAACTCCATAATTCTGTGTTCTGTGGAGTGATCTCATTCATTCGGGAAATATTTACCAAATGCTACGATGTGCAAAGCATGGTATTACTGCTAGTGTGAGATAGAAACACTCTCCTCCCACTTAGGCAAAGCCTATTTTGCTCAGTAGCTTCAGTACATTGAATAATAAATACCATTATAATTGATAAATTATCTCCCGGTCTTTTATTAATATTTTATTAATATTTATTAATATATACTGAATGCTGCAAAAAAAAGCAGCTATTCTTCTTGACCTAGAGGAGTTTACAATCTAATTGCAGAGAAAGAAAAATGCATGCAGGAAATAACCAGAGAATGAGGCCAAAATAATACAAATAGTACAAGCTGTACAGCGATGAAGATTGGCTTTATCCAAGAATGCTTGTAGAAAGAGATGAGTTCTAAGGGAACGTATAATCTGAATGTGCAATTGTCATATTTCTAAGATCAAACCAATGACTTCTGAAGACCATCTTAATTAAAAATATTTAAAAGCTAAAAAGCCTCAACGCTGCTGACGCATATTGGCTTTCAAGCATTGTATGAAGAAACCCAGCCCATGTACTAAAAATGGAGCAGCAAATCTCAGGCAGTCTTTTGGCAGAATGCCCTGGGGCTCAAGAGGGTTTACCATGTGGTAAATCAGCTGCTACTTCCGATAGCTCCACAATGTCACAAGAGTATCAGGTCTCAGTGCTGGAGCAGAATTAACCAGAAGAGCAAATGAAATTGCTAAGAATTTGAAGGCATAGTTTCAGTCAAATGGTGCGCAGTGTAAAGTGTTACTCTTGTATTTACTCAGGATGTTAACTATCTTAACTGGATCATATATCAGTACTCTCCAAGTGCCCCTCACTGGAAGTGCTGAACTGGAGTGTGATTCTCAGAGTTAATTGATGGAGGCGCCATCTGGATTCTCTCGAAAAAGTTTCAAATTTTAAAGAAGTCAGAATCAGCAAAGGGAGGTGTTCTAGAATAATGCCTCAGTGTTGACGTGCAAATTAAAGAACCCAAATGAAATTAGAACAACCTAAAAGAAACCATGCATTTGACAGGCAATGTTATTCAAACATTTTCAAGTGTATGACTGACAGCATTAATATTGCACTCTGCAAGCACCTGATCCTCCCTACCTTAGCTAATTTCTTCATTTGGCTTTGGAACTCTATAAAGTGTATTAAGCTTGAGAGGTTGAAAAATACTTTTGGAATTGCTTAATCCAGGAAAAGGAGTTGCACATTCAAATCCCTGTGTTAATATTTCATTCCTAAAAGCTTTCAAGCTGGAATCATTAGAATGCTTTTTGGCTCTAAGTGACAGAACCCAAATTCAAAATGGCTTACACAATAAAGAAATACATTATTTTATATAAGAAAATATTCAAAGGAGGACTCTAGGTTTTGCTTGGGAGCCCTTTTCCACATGTTGGCTTTGTCTTCTGACCATAGACAAGCTGGGCACAGTGGTCCAAGCATCTTCTCTAGTGAGACACCAGCAGAGAACAGAGAGACTACCCCCATGTCTCTTCCTGAGCAGAGAGGAAGCTTCCCCAGAGCTTCCTGGCTGATGCCCCTGACACCTCATTTGCCCGCACTGGTTCAGCTGTCCACTTCTGAGGCAGTCACTGGCAAGAGAAATGGAATTGTCGTTAATAGCTTGAAGTAATTATTGGGGGTGGGCTGTTCTAGAAGAGGAGTTTCACAGACACCTGTTTTAGTGACAGCTTTATTCAAATAAGCCATAGTATATTTGTTTTAAGAATAAGACAAAGCCAAGATTCTCAGCGGAGAAGGGAATGGTTATATCAAAATAATCTATGGAGATTTTTCCAATTAGACCCATTCTAATCTGTGGAGTTTTTTCAGTTATTTCAAACTAGACACAGTCCAGTTTATGTGGATCTTTCCTTAAAACCCTCACCTCCCACTACACGTGCGTGCATGTGTGCGCGCGCGCACACACACACACACAGAGAGATAGATATGATAGATAGATAGATAGATAGATAGATAGATAGATAGATAGACAGACAGACAGACAGACACAGACTCACACACACACATCTTACTAGTTCCTTTGTTTGGTTGTTTTTTTAGAGATAGGGTCTTACCTTGGTCCCCAGGCTGGTCTCAAACTCCTGGCCTCAAATGATCCTCCTGCCTTGAACTCCCAAAGTGCTGGTGTTACAGGCATAAGCCACTGCACCCATCCCTTGCTCCATTCTTAAAGGGATTGTTTTTGATATTTCACTATTAAGTCCTATGCTGTAGATATTTTTTATAGGTGTCGCTTAACAAGTTAAGAAAATTCCCTTCTTAAAAAAATGTTTAATGTTTCATTTAAAATCTGGCCACTGTGCTGAGTGCAATTGCTTCTGCTTTAGTAATAACCATAAAGTAATAATGAGTAAAAAGTTTAAGCTTTTATCATATTTATTTTCAGTAATCTCACCTGTACCATATTGCCTGTAGGTGCAGTGTTAATTAGTTCCACTGATCCCTCAAATTTAGATAAAGAAAATGCCAACAGGGACCTGAAATTTGCTCACATGGGAATCTGGAGAAACACAGGCATATCAGGTAGCTCTGCAGGCACTGTTATCAGCTGAACCTGGTGTTTTGCCAAGAAAAAAGATTTGCTAACCTTTAAACTCCTTCAGGGGTATGATAAAAGGAGATAAGATTTTCTGTTTGGCTACTTATATAAAATCACCATTACTCCTGAAGTTTTCATACTAAATACTGACAAACAATTCAATTTGGAGATGGCAGCAGCAGAAAACACCATTTGAAATACAGAACATCCCTTTCTTTAACATCACAATTATTCTATTCACAAGATTACCTCCAATAATACTTATTCTTTATAAGCATTCAAGAATATCATATAAGATGGGGAAAGCTATTCTATTTAAATAGGCACTTGGAGAGAAAGTGAGGAAGATAACATATACCTACCTTATCTAGCATTCAGAGGGGTTGAAAGTTTTTAAACCCTTTTTTTTCAGGCCAGGCACGGTGGCTCACCTCTGTAATCCCAGCACTTTGGGAGGCTCAGGTGGGTGGATCACCTGAAGACAGGACTTCCAGACCAGCCTGGCCAACATGGTGAAACCCCGTCTCTACTAAAAATACAAAAATTGGCCAGGCGTGGTGACAGGCACCTGTAATCCCGGCTACTCGGGAGGCTGAGGCAGGAGAATTGCTTGAACCCGGGATGTGGAGGTTGCAGTGAGCCGAGATTGTGCCACTATACTCTAGCCTGGGCAACAGAGCAAGACTGCGTCTCAGAATAAAAAATACATTAAAAAATACATAAATCCTCTTTTTCAGAAAGGAAGCAAACTGTGTACATGATTATATAGATTTGCTTTGACTCATTCATTCAACAAACACTTCCTGATGTGCCTAACACTATTCTAAGCTATGAGGATGCTATAGGGAACAACAAAGCTAGAGGCCCCAGAACCTTCATGTGTGTATTCTAGTGAGGGTAGCAGAGAATAAGCAGGTCACGAACTTTATGCATCTTCTGGTGTCTAAGGGCTGTGAAATAAAATATAGCTGGTGGTAGGAAGTGGGCAGTCGAGGAAGGGCTTCCCTGAATAATTGTTTTTTGATAGAAGAAAAGGCATTTCAGGCCAGGCACTGTGGTTCAAGCGTGTAATCCCAACACTTTGGGAGTCCAAGGTGGGAGGATTGCTTGAGGCCCCAGAGTTCAAGACCAGCCTGGACAACATAGGAAGACCTCCATCACTACAAATAATTTTAAAACTACCTGGGCATAGTGGTGCTTGCCTGTAGTCCCAGCTACTCAGGAGGTCGAGGTGGGAGGATCGCTCAGGCCCAGTAGTTTAAGGTTTCAGTGAGCCGTAATCATACCACTACACTGCAGCCTGGATGAAAGAGGGAGACCCTGTCTCAAAACAGAATGGCACTTTATTCTTACGTTTAAAGGTGCTAACAAAATAATTAGTAACAAATAAATGCTTCATACTAATGCCAAAAAAACCCAAGTACGGCATCTGAGATATGCAAATGCTTTTGCACAGCTGGCCAGCGGCAATTTTGTGCCGCCCCTCTTTCAAAGGTGATTTAGCAAAAGATGCTACTGTGGATTACTTTCCAAATATCACTGGCAGTGACTCTGTAAGAGCCTAAATCTTTGAGATTTTCATAGAATGGTCCTTGAAATAGAGGCTTTAGACATAGGGCATGAGAGGAAGTGTGTGAATGTGGGTGTGTGTGTATGATTTGAACTTTCTACTTTTCATTTTAGGGTGAAAAAGGAGCTATGGGAGAGCCTGGACCAAGAGGGCCCTATGGGCTGCCTGTGAGTTCCCGGTCACATGCACATCCCCACCTTCCGCATGCATAGATGACCAGTCACTGACACGGTTAACCCTTCCCTTGTGGCAGACTAATGTTAGAGAAGAAACAGCAATCCACTCATTACCTATAAATCCAGTAATTCCATGTCCTTCACAAATAGGTCATATTCAGTATCTCACCCTCTTATCATGTACAGACACATATCCAGGCACTTCACGAGATTGACAGGATCAGAGTCTGTCTCTAGAATAAACTATTAACCCGAGAACAGGATCCTGTCAGAAGATGCCCTCCCTACGTCATCTGACTGGACACTCATAACTGGTACTTCCTTGGAAGGTCACTGGATCCAAAAATGGCTGTGGAAGCTTCATTGAAAACAGCCTTCTTCAGACTTTATCTGTTCCTATAGACTATTTACTAAAATGACTCTTGCTAGTAAAAAGTATTCCCCAAATTACATTGATATTTATGACGACTTGATGTTTCTAACTTTCTAAATTACTGTGATGACAAATGATCTTCAGAACATAGAACATTGATAACGTTCTGTCTTCTGAAATTATTATTATTATTATTATTATGTGAGATGGAGTCTTGCTCTTTTGCCCAGGCTGGAGTGCAGTGGCGCGATCTTGGCTCACTGCGACCTCCACCTCCCAGGTTCAAGCGATTCTCCTGCCTCAGCCTCCCGAGTAGCTGGGATTACAGGTGTGTGCCACCACGCCCAGCTAATTTTTGTATTTTTAGTAGAGATGGGGTTTCACTATGTTGACCAGGCTGGTCTCAAACTCCTGACCTCAAGTGATCCGCCCTTCTCGGCCTCTCAAAGTGCTCGATTTATAGGCATGAGACACTGCGCCTGGCCTGAAAATTCTTAATTACACAGAATTAATATTGAGACCTCTGATTTGCTTTAAAAATATCATCTTGGGAATGATTATAATTGATTCATTAAGATAGGGTAGGATGACAGTAGAAGCGTATGTTGCATTAAGGGTTTTAACCTTTCCATATCTCCCACATGCTTTTTATGAATTGAAATAACAAACATAGTCCATGATTACCTCAGTGCTAAATTAAAAAAAAAAAAAAAAAGATGCTGATTTTGAAATAGGTTTCAAAATCTAACTGATGGAATCAAAGTAGCCTTTCGTGAACTTTGGATGGATCCATACTATGACACAATAGGGTCATCACCTTGATAATCTGCACCATGGGAGTGAATTTATCATTCTTGCCTAACAGTCTTACGACTTTTAAAAAAATATTTGGGGATTATTCATTTACAAAGCTTACTTAAAAACAGCTTTTCAGTTGCAATCTTCACACCCTTCGTACACGGTATGCACATCTAGCCAAATTAAAACTGTATTTCTACATTCTTTACTCATTTGTGAGCTAACTACTAAGTTATCGAATTAAAGTAGCATTGATTCATATCCTCTATTAGTGCTGGTATGTTTTTAATTCAACTAAACAGTATTTTTGCTTTTAACTTAACTCCTGGACTGGTAACTTAGATACCAAGGTTTAAACACCAGCAGAATATTAGTCTATTTAACCCAATATATCATATAAAATTTTCATGACCCTTAACTTTAACACTAACAGTCACTAATCAACTAAACAGTATTTTTGCCTTCAGTGTAACTCCTGGACTGATAACTTAGCTACCAAGCCTTAAACACCAGCAGAATATTAGTCTATTTAACCCAATATATCATATAAAATTTTCATGACACTTAACTGCAACACTAACAGTCACTAATCCAAATGAGAATCTTTTTCACATTTCTGAAGTAGTTGTTCTAGTACTAGTGTTGCATGTTCAGACAGCCGTAAATAAATCTATAATCTATTCATAAAACTTAGAAACACTAATGTAGCTACTATGGTTCTTTGGCAGGGGAAAGATGGAGAGCCTGGTCTTGATGTAAGTAATAAGTACAATAAACATCATCCTATTATAATAGATGTTGATGGTCTCCATCATCAATAACAAAAAGAATACTTATTTTCTGTGCATATAGGTATGCATAGAACATATATTGCTGTGCATGTAAACAGCAATATACAGTAGTGTTTGCATGAGATAAAACAGAAAAGCAAAAAAACACAATTATCTTGTATAAAATTAATAACTAGTAGTGGATAGTGGCACTTCAAAATACTTTCCCAAGTTGAGGATACTCTTAACATCAGTATGACCTATTTATGAAAAATATGCATAAAATCAACATACTTCTCACATGCTATCCTTACAGAATGATATGTTTTTTTCCTCAAAGCAGTTAGGCAGTATTTTTTTCCTTTAGCATTTAGTCCCTATATATCTTATGCTAATATGTTTCTGTGAAAATAGAGAATGTCAAAAGCAAATGCCTCTAGACACAATCACTGCTCATCCTGTATTACATGAATAATGAGAATACCAAAAGTAATACAAATACTAGTTACTGTTTATGAGCACCTGTTATGGGCAGGCATCATTCTGGTACTTTGTAGTGCATCACCACATTTAACATTCACAACAGCTGTCTGGTGGATATCATTAACCCCATTTTACAGTCAAGGGACTAAAGTGCAGAGAGGTAAGTGATTTGCCCAAATCTGCACAAATCAGTGAACTTCCAAGAATTCAAACTAGTATCCTGATATTCTTTCTACTCTCTATGTCTTAAAAGAAAAAGCAAGCAACCTGTTGTGTATAGATAATTGAGACATTAGAAAACTTACATTTCTAAGCACTGCTTTATTATCTCACCAGTCTTAAGACTGGTGAGCCATTTTGTGTTATATTTAAGTTCAGAAATGTAAAATCCTAAAATATTTGTTCCTAGATGATTTTGCCACTATTACACCAATAGATCTTTTTGGTTTGCTTTTTATCTTACAGGGCTTCCCTGGTCCACGGGGTGAGAAGGGCGATCTAGGAGAAAAGGGAGAAAAGGTAACCTCTCCATCCCAGCATATACCTTGTTTGATTCTTCTCCTGCTGTCTGCTTTGCTGTTCAGCTTGTGTGATTCCATTTGACACTTAATCTTTTTCCATCCTGTGCTCCAAAAACATACTGATGCCTGATTTAAGGAATCAGGTCTTCAGAGAGGAATGAAGAAGGCTGTGCTGCCAGAGTAAGGGCACTGCCTGGCATAGAAGAAAAAATTATTATCCCCAGATATTCAAGCTACAGTTTTTCAACCACCTGACACCAATTTATTGAAAAGTAAAGGATTTTTGAAAAAAATTATTTTAAAAAGTAAAATTAAATGGCACAAATCTGCAATGGTATTTGGCAGAGCTCATTGAACCCTGCAAAACCAGCATCTCACTTGTCTTCGCTACTTCCCAGTAGAGAAATGGAGGTATGTTTTGTACCTTGATATTTTTTATTTGAAAATGGAGGAGAAGCAGTGTGACTGATAAACTACAGTAAGTTCACTACGCAGGACTAGGACTTGCCACTTTCAGGTTCAGAGCAACAGGGATTTTTAAAACAGAGATATTGGTGTATTTTATGAGGTTGATTTTGAAGTTCTATCTCTGAACCAGCAGCTCCATGGTCTTTAGGAGCCAATATCAGGCAATATGGTTTTGTGACTTGAAAAGAAAAGTTTGGATTATGGATTTTAAAAGCCATTTTTTCCTTTCTTCTCCTTTGTTCTTTTCTCCTCCCTTCCCTCCTTTCCTCTCCTCTGTTTCTTTTCTCTCCTTCCCTCCCTCCCTCCATCCTTCTCTCTCTCTCTCTCTTCCCCCACCACTCCTTTCTCAGTATTTTGCTTGGGTCTTTTACCTGGTAGTAGATCTAAGGAGAATTTTTTACGTTGGACACAACAAAAGAAGCCATCAAAAACTCAATCCCTCAATAGAATAGTGAAAATCTTAAAGTGGCTGAAACTATATTTCACAGTACAAATTTAAACCTGTCATATTTCTCAGGTTAATTTGTCCCTGCTCTCTTTAACCCCATCAAGTCTCTTGGACAGTGACCTTCATAGCTGTTGACAAGCAAGGCTAAATGAGAGTTGTCAAAGAAAGAAGATTATTAAGCTTGTGGTGTAAGTTTTAGGCCTTAAGCATTGCTTAGACTCTCCCCCCACCCGTTGGTAAGACAGCCCGCGTAAGTGGTTATCTGAAAGCCCCGTCATCATCACCAGTATCATCACATTTACTGAGCATTATGTGCTTTCCCAAGGGCTTTACATATGATAAGTCTTTTAATCCTCATAACAACCCCCGAAGTTGGCATTATTTTCCCCACTTCACAAACAAGAAAACTGAGGTATAAAAAATTCTTTTATTCTGAATTATAAATTCTGACTATAAAATATATGTGTTTTGAGATAAATTGTGCATATAAGCTTTCAGCCCAAGATGAGTGTGTTTTAAAGATGATATGTGGCTGGGTGCAGTGGTTCATGCCTATAATCCCAGTGCTTTGAGAGTCCAAGGTAGGAGAACTGCTTAAGGCATAGAGTTTAACACTAGCCTGGGCAACCCATCTCTAGTGAGACTCCCAGCTCTGCTAAAAAATAAAAAAATATGGTGGGGCATGGTGGTGTGTACCTGTAGTCCCAGCTACTCCAGAAGCTGAGGTGGGAAGATCACTTGAACTCAAGAGTTTGAGGCTGTAGTGAGCTATGCTCACACCACTGTACTTTAGCCTGGGTGACAGAACAAAACTCTGGCTCTAAAAAAACTCAAAAACATATATATATATATATATATGCATTTTATATTTACCTAATGGGTTATATGAGTCTAAAATCTTAATCATGCAAAAACATATTACTGCCGGGCGCGGTGGCTCACTCCTGTAATCCCAACACTTTAGGAGGCTGAGACGGGTGGATCACTTGAGGTCAGGAGTTTGAGACCAGCCTGGCTAACATGACGAAACCCTGTCTCTACTAAAAATACAAAAATTAGCTGGGGGTGGTGGTGGGTGCCTATAATCCCAGCTAGTTGGGAGGCTGAGGCAAGAGAATCGCTTGAACCCCGGAGGCGGAGGTTGCAGTGAGCCAAGATCATGCCATTGCACTCCAGCCTGGGCAACAAGAGTGAGACCCTGTCTCAAAAAAAAAAAAAAAATACCATTAGGAGGATACTCATGTTTACGAGAAAGAAATTACCAGCATTACAGCATAGGAAAGCATAAAAGCTAGAAACTTGATCCTCAGAATAATGTTAATCACCCATACAAAATATTTCCATGTTCAGCTTCCATGATTAGAAGTTTTAAATTTACAAAAATTGATTCTAAATGAGAATAATTCATGTATATAATTATTTGACATGGGAAATAAAAGTTATCAGGAACTCTCATGTACTCATACCCACAATGACATGGTTTTGTATTGCATGGGGAATCAGTACATATTACAAAACAATGCTGACTAATAATAACATTGGCACGTTATTCTTCATACTGTAGTGTTTCTTTTCCATAAAGCTTGAGGCTCACTAAAATATTACTGAAAAATGATTCCTATAGTCTGGCACAGTAACATTCATATGACAACATTTTTCTGTTGAGTGGTTAATCTGAGTTGATTTACCAATCATATAATGAATTGAATTCCAAAGTAATAATACCCAACACACCGGTCTCAGACACACCTATGTGAAGAAGAGTCCACTGCCCTCTGGGAGGGAAGAGCTCACCCAAATGAGTTTACATCAGTTTTATCTCATGGTACTGAAGTGATTTATTAAGGAAGGATGTTGATCCATCTTGAGTGAGTGACCAACTTACTTCTAAATGTTCCTCCCATCTTACTTCCTATCACAACTGCTCTCATTTCACCCTGGCTTCTGGGGTCATCATTGTCTTTGATCATGATCAACTAAGCCACAGAGAATGTCTCTTTGCCCCATATTCAAGAAATCCAAGTGTTTTTGATTCTGAGCCTTCTGATGCAATCTTTTTGGCACACAGGAGATAAATGAAGAGCTTTTGCTCATGCTGTCAGAATGAATGTATTAATTTGAATGCACATCTCATATATTTCTGTTATGTGTATCTCTTTTCACCTTTCAATATTCATGTTGCTTTGCTTCAGAGATTATTCAGTTTTATTGTAACTCCCATCCTGATTGCAGAATGAATACATTTTTTTAAGTATGTATTGTATAGCATTTTGAATTCTGCACGGCACTAACTCCCTGTCTATAAATATGCAGAGATATTGATGTTAATATAAAACAGCTGAGGTGCATTCCTTCCTTCTCCTCCTTTTGCCTCCTTTCCTTAATTCCTCTGGCCCTATGATCCATGCAGATTTCCCACAACCTTTACCTTGATTCCTAAATACTAATTTCCATATCTACATTCCCACTATGTAATTATCCTGCCTACCTCATTTTACTGAGTCCAAGCTGCTTTTCCTCTCCTGAACAGATTTTTTTTTTTTTTTTTTGGCTTTTGTCACATTATGAGTAAGCTGGAAACTCATTTACCATTGTAAATACATGGCATGAGATCAGTAAGAGAGTAAATTAAAGAAGATCCCTAGGTTTATAAATAAGTCGGTTTCTCCAGTTGGCATTGCTGCAAACTATTAGCACTTTTAACATTTGTTACCTGACTTAATAAGGAAAGTATTTGTTTTTAGTTTCTTTTAAAAAAAATGTTTTGCTGTAACAAAAGGATATAAAAAATATTAAAAGAAATAGCATATTTTAAGACATTGAATATTTTTGAATGAGTTACACAAGTAATATCAATCATAAAGTTGGATACATTTCAAAGAACTAGACACTGTTAACATTCTTTCCTTTTCCTCTGGTTCAATGCAGCTTTCATCTGTTACAGGATTAGAAAAAAGAAAGGTGACAGGTATTGAAAATTGAGTGAAGTATCCATTATTTCCCTGAACTTCATCTGCCACTGGCTGGCTTCAATGCTTTTGGTACCTGTCATCCTCACAGGATCTGTGACTCAGACACCTAATTCATGATGGTGACATTGTGGTCTAAGTTAGCACTTCTGATGTATCAGCTTTTAAGCCTCCTTCTGTCTTGTTGAGTATCTTAAATAAAATCCCACATGCCCCTGCCCAGAATCCATTGTCACTCTGAAAGTATTAGCTTTTATAATATCATGCCTTACCTAAATCAGAAAACAGTGGTAAATGCCCTTCCAGAATTTTCTTACCTAAACCATCTTTTGAATTACCATTATTTCCCCCCAAATAAAATTTGTCTTTTATTTAAACCCTTGTATCCACAGGGGGAAAAGGGAAAGAAAGGCAAAAAGGGCCCTAAAGGGGAGAAAGGAGAACAGGGTGCTCCTGGATTAGATGCACCCTGCCCGTTGGTATGTCTGACTCCTGGAACTGTCTCCAGATGTTTGTGTGAGGGGATCAGATGGGAGAAGAGCAAGCTGGAGGGATCCGTAACAGGAGGGTTTCTGATTGGGGTCATTTAACACGGACTTCAAGATACCCAGAAACATTTATCACAGTTATCCTGATATGTTCCACATCTCATCTCTGGCCACTAGCTCTGCCTGGTTTCTTAACCCCCAAATATCACGGCACAACTGGAACCTGAATGTAAGATCCGAAAGGAACCGGCACTATTCCATACCCCTCCAAAGAGAGGCCACTGTTTTCAAACAAGCCCCTGTTGTAGGAATATGTCTCCCTCCATTTTACTTTCTCCAACTTCACTGGATGTTACTTTTCCCTTCAGAGTTGCTCCTCTCCCAGCCTTTTGTTGTTGTAGTTACTTCTTTCGCAGAATTTGTGCTTAAGTGATTTCTTGTGTTAGTAACATTATCAGTTAATCTTTACAAACAGGGATTCCGTGGCGTTAAGGGGGAAAAAGGGGAGCCAGGCCAGCCTGGCCTGGATGGGCTGGATGCCCCTTGCCAATTGGTACAGTATTTCTCTTTCCTACCACCCTGCATGCAGTTCCTTTATTACATGTTCATCTCTATCAGTGTAAAGTGGTGCTTTCTGGGCAAGCTTTACATGATAAACACACTACATGCATGTGCATGAACAGGCTCCTTCTGCCACCGTGCAGAGTCAGAGGGCAAGCACGCGTTTCTATCAATGAATGCAAATTAATCTCCTGATGTTGTTCTCACAACTGACATGACCACCTTTTTTGTGTTCTTTGGAATATTAATTTTTTCCATAAATATTTAAAGATTACAGTAAAATTATATGAAAATATTTGATGCAAAGACACTGCTGGACCATAGCTTTTGGTTTTCCACCTAAGTTTGACTTTTTTCTTTTTCTCTAAAACAAATAAAGGTATTTCTGCCTTTTTCGCTATATTTCTATCAGGCTGTAAATAAGGCCCAACCTACGGAATTCAGCTTCTGTTGTCAAGTGTTAACCAATTCAAGAGAATGCTTTAAGAGACCACAGAGAAGAGGACCAAACTTCTCTGAGCTTCTAAAGATGATAAGAGTCTGCAGCCCCAACCCTCTTCTTTGTCACATAACCTTTTCAATTTAATGGTCTCTCCTTTTGAAACTCACTTTCCTAAAGTAGACCAAACTCCCTTATCTCCATTGGCATGAACTCAAAATCCTCCTGATACTAAAATCTAAAATTCTGCTGGTTGAACCTTCTCCTTGTACCAATCTGGCATTACCAGTTTTTCCGAAATATTTTATGAAGCTTTTCAAAAGTGTTCTTTTTTTTTTACATTTAAAATGAAAGTATATTCATATTTTCTGAGGTATAAATAAAAATTTTTATGTTTGCATTGATGGTTATACTGGTCTGCATGTTCTTATATTATTCTTCAGGTATAAGCATGATTCTTTAAAGATAAATTTATATTTCTCTTTAAGAGATTGTATTTATATTTTTAAAAATTAAGCAGTCAGTGATTATAGTTAGAAAATCTCAATATGAAGTTCCTAGTTCTTTGTTTGCTTGGTATTAATGATAAATCATATTTTATGATCATTTTGTCGGGGGGAAAGTAGAAGCATGCCGTCTTGATGTACCAATTCTTCCTGCCTTATTTGTATCATTTGTATCTGAAGAATGCATACACTTTAAAATACATTTTGCAACACTTAGGAACCTCTTATTTTATTCAGAATTTGTTAACTTCTGAATAATTTAAATAGAGAAATCGATGAATGTTCTAGATAATATTTTATCATAAAAATGTAGATAGGCTGCTTGTCTTCTAATTCAATTGAGTATGTTCTGCTGTATTTACTTTCAATATAGAAAAGTGAAAAATACTGGCATGTGAAGAGCTACAAACTTCAGATAGAAATGGTTTATCATTGATTATTCATCATTATCATGAATTCAGCCATAGTCTAATAGTGACCAGGAAGATAAGTTATTTCGGTTTACTTAATAGAGATACCAGCGAGACCTGTTTTAATGAAATTAAGAGTATAGATTTATTATCTAAAAATATAGATATGAATAGAGCACTATGCTTTGTAAATTGCTTTTTCAAAATTAGGCATATGTTTTCAAAATGTGTACTCACTCTGGAATTTTCTTGATTTTACCTAACACTGGGTAATATATTGGGAGTTGCTAATTAGTAAAAGATGCCAATGACCAAAGCCACTAATGGGTAGAAATTTATTTTTAAGCCTCTGAGCATGTGAATTATGAAGTTTAATCACACTTACGGAGCCTGAGGAATTCTTTTTCTTCTCTTTAAAACAGGGGCCAGATGGCTTACCCATGCCTGGCTGTTGGCAAAAGGTAGGCTTTACTGAATAATTTCTCAAAAGAAGCACTCTCCCTTTCTCTTAACGTGGACTAGCCTTTTCCATTCAGAACAGACCTTTGGATGTGACATTGCGAAGAGTTGTTTGGATATTAAAAAGCAAAAGATTTCATCTCCAGAATATCTTTTGATCAGTATATTTACTGCTGATTTCTTCCTAAACTGATCAGCTAACGCAATTCTTAGCAAACATTGCAATTTGGAACCTTCCCTATCTAATCCTTTCTTTGGAATGGAAAGGAGCAGTGCACCCTGATAACGTTTTACTTGTCTCTCAAAATCTTTGTCTTCCTAATGTTTAAACCTATTCTCAATTGTGATTCTTCTTCTATTTATACTTACTTACACAGACAAACATGCTAATACATGGTAGAACCCTGTCAATATAGTCACAGAGCTGAGAAAGCAGAAAAATATAAGCATCATTTGTTTAATGATGTCTTGAGTTATGTAGGAGAAACTGAATTAAATTTAAGTGGTGTCCTTTATGAATCAGTTTATTCTAGCCTCTTCATATGACTGCCCATAGTCACTGTGTGTGTATTCAGTGAGGAATGGAGTTTATTTTTTATAGAGAACCTTCTATGTGCAAAGGCTGTATGATAAGCCTTTTCATATAGAGAATATCATTTCATTTAATCCATACAATGACCCCATAAAGTCTTATTACCCTCAGTGATGCAGATGAAGAAACAAATTCAGAGAGGTCAAGGACCTTCCAAGAGCACAGAACTAGTGTGTAACACAACTAGGAGAGGGAGAGAGAAACAATAGAAAGCAACAGTGAAACTGTAAGCAAGGAAGAGATCATCCGAATGAGCTGTGCTATTCAGAGAATACCAAACCTTTATGCAATAATGGTGAAGATCTAATTATAAAGGCTGTGCACATGCTACTGAAGGATAAGAGCATTCCAAGCATGTAAAAATGGGCTGAGAAAATGCACAAGATTCTTCAATCATTTTGAAATATTTTTCTCCAGCACCTTGTGGCTTCTTCAGTAATTTTGGACAGGCATGCTTCATTAGCAACATTACAGCAAAACTATGTAGCAATGCAGAAAGATGGGAAACCTGACTCTCTTAGTTGCATCTTACCTTAGCAACTCCGTGGTGAGAAAATCCTGAATAACTCACTCTCTTTCTTAATCAGTTTCACCTACTTGACCAGAGAAAGTAAAACCTCTCTCAGTAGCGTCATTTATTTAGTAGCTTCCCATACTCCGCTTTCAGCCTGTCAGATAATTAGCTTGATCACATACAGGGTCAAGTGGGTCTCATGAAAATGGACCTATCATCATATTCTTCTTCACCTGAGAAAACTATCCCTCCCCTATCATAACCCCCGTTCACAGAATTTTTAATACCATCTTGAGCTGGAATTACCACTTACTCTCTAACCTTTGCCCTGTAATCTAATAGTGTAATGATTTTTTAAACCAACCATTAGCACACTTCACATAGCGGAGATGCAGTAGGCTTGCTTTATCCAGCCTTCTGACACCACTCAGAACTTGGGTTCACAATCGTTCTTAGCCACCTCTGAATCGCTGCCTTTTTAAAGGGGTTTATACCCTTAAATGGCAACAAAGAACTCATCATCTTTTTGGTTCATGAAATGGCCAAAGCTGGTAGTAATATGAATACTATTAGAAAATCAGAAATTTTCCTTTTAAATACATATTTTTCCACAGAATAGACACTATATGCTACAGAAGATTAAAGATCTTATGAATCTAGCATCTTATATAAAGAATAAGAATTATGAAACTTTAGAATTGTTTACCACATCCACCCAACACACACAAATGCAAATCATTCTGATCAACCTCTCCCACCCATCCCCAGAAAGGAAAGAAACAATTAGAAAATGAAAACATTCTCAAATTTCTTATGTGGTCAACTTAGCTGTGATATAAAATAGTCAAATAAAAATTACTTTTAAAATTATATTTTTAAAATAAGGTCAGCGGATTGCTTTTAGTGAGTCCTATTTTGGGTGTTATCACCCTTTTGAACACTGCTGTGTTTATTAGGCTGTAGGGCACAGTGGCAAATGTTTACTTGACTTAAAATTCAAATTGTGGCAGTCATATAAATCACTGATTACCACCTCCTCTTGGTTATGCTCCTCTCAATGATTTATACCTGCAAAACTATTTCATCTTTGTTTAAATTAGTTTTCTTTCTAGATATAGTTCTGTTTTCTAAATTTACCAACACAGGAAGAGTTAAGAGAGATAAGTGAGGGTTTGGAAAAAGGAGTGCTTCCTATAGACACATTTTTTGGCATTGGCATGACAGGCAAGAATATTGAGTGAACTCCATCTCTGAAGATTAGAAAGCAGCCTCCAAAGCACACCTAGTAGAGCATCTATTTTCCTTGAATAGAGAAAAACAAATGTTGATAAATAAACTTAAAGATGACTCCATGCATTGTGGAGGGTGAATGAAGAGACCTCTGTTATTCTCCTTGTCTGTACATTCTACTTACTGATTTTTCTTTGAGTAAATGTCAAGGATGTCTCTAAGATGTGCTTTGTAAGTGTATATCTCAAAGACCTCTGTTCCTCAGACCTCTGACTTAATGCAGTTCTAGGAAAACCTTAGTAATTATGACTGCTATGAGAGAGAGGTGAGAAACCAGAAATCTGTGGTGCCTTAGGTTACAATGGAACCTGTAATACAGATTGAAGGCCTGAGAGCAGGCAAGTCTACCTTGCATAACATTCACAGTGGGCAAGGCTTGCAAAAGGAAGGAGGAACCAAGAACTGAAGAATAGAGGATTAGAGTCAGGTGTTGGTGAAGTAAACAACACTATCAAGGTCAGTCCTCAGCCCTTTCCACAGTTGTATTGTAATGCTTGCAGAAGATTATGTAGCTTACAAATACAGAATTAAATTTAATTGTCATACATATGTGATAAACATCCTAATTTTCTGCTTTCCCAGAACAGTTACTGAGCAAAACACTTACCCTAAAATTCTCAGTGGCAAAGGAAAAATGTGGAATGAACCTCAGATGGAAATTGCCGTGACATCTTGGAGTTTAGAAAGTAATATATAGCACACATATCAGATAATCAATTGGCTCATTGGTAGCCAGTCAGTTGGCTTATAGACTCTATTCAAGGTTCTACCAGTTTTCTTTAAATATTGATTTAAAATTTTAATTCAAGACTACTAATTCCATGTATTTATCTTTTTGTTGTCTTTTTCTGCAGTGATGAATCTAACCTTTCAAGCATGAAGTTGTGTATATAATGGTCCTCTTTTAATATTTATAGTTGAAAACTGAATTGCAGATTTTACAAGTCTGAGATATGTTTACATAGGGCTGCTTCTTCCTGCTGGCAATAGTATACATGTCCATTTTTACTCCACTTACATCTGAAATTGGGCAATTTGTGAAATCAGTGAGTAACCTGCAAAAAATATAGATCAGTATCTCTTTATCTTATGTGAAGATACGTATTTATATGGACAAATCAGTGGTAGATAATGATTGATTGTACTAGCTATTTTCCTTCTTCGGGCTTGCTAATTGCATGGACAAAAAGTGCCATGAAATAGTTTACATGAAATGGTGACCAAATATGGGCTCAAAGCTATGAAAATGTACTATACTGACTGATTTGAGAGTTGATTATCACATTCCTATTCACCTTTCATGTTGGCATTGACTCATACCTACACTACCCATTGAAATTGACTAAAAAAGCATGACTGTGTGCCAAACCTGCTTGCTGTGCAACTTCAGATGCTAGCATGCTGATCACAAGTCCTTTGATTACATCTGAGCTTTTATTCCTTTTGTCATCTCAAGGGGGTTACACCATGGCTTATTGCCAAAAAGAGATAAGGTGGTGGAGAGCACACACACAATTTGTCTTGTATTTTGAGGGAGTTGCAGTCCTGACTGCAGATCTTCAGCTTCCAGTATTGTGGGCTCACGTGGCCACTTTGGTTGAAATACGAAGGGGTTGAGCCTGTTGCTGCCGCCAGTTTTCCTTGGGCTGCCCTTGGCAGTGAAGACACGGGAAGAGGACCGATTCAGCCTCCAGCACTGTCCCTCGTGTGACCAAGTAGGAAAGAGGTTTACAAATGCAAACATGCAGAACCAGACTTAAAAAATATATATAAATAAACTGAATTTCAGCAAGTGTTAATATGGGTGCTTTTAAAAATGACAGAGGCACAGCGCTTCTTTTGGAATAGGAGATTCTTGGAATGGGAGCCCTTGTCCCTGAGGAAACAGGGATGTGCATCCCACCAAAACTTGGGTTACTGAAGAAATAACATGTTCTGAGAAGGGATCAGCCAAAATCACCTTTCCTGATGATGTAGGAGAGCTTACTGGGACATCTGTGCCAAAGTTGTTGTGAGAGCTTTCCTTCCTCCAAAGATCCAACCCATGTCAAACATTTCCTACAAAGTTTGAGAAACAGAAAGGTATTTTTCATTCTTTTTAATGCTTTTTCCTTTTTCTTTCTTTAGTCCCAGGAATATTGAAAAAATATTCATTTCAGTTTTTGTCACATATGTTTTGAAGAATTTTTTTAAGAAGACTTCAAATCATAATAATTTGGCTCCGATGGTCAAAATGACCTTTTACTAACTTCTCTCTTGTTTTGGATAATTGCATAGAGTATAAAATAAGCTCCACTTTCAGTCTAATCATTGTAAAGCATGAAAGTTACACATTTTTAAGTATGTTTTGACTTTCTTTACATGATGAATGTAACGTACATGGAGATTATCAGTTAATATAAAGCCAAGATTTTGTCACATTTGATAATATTAATTTCTGTTTTTATGGTTTTAAGTTTTGTCTATATTTAGATTTCTTTCTTTTTAACATTTCTAAATGTTTGTCTCATCCTCATATCCACAGACCAAATCTAAGATCTCAGAAAGCTGTGAAATATAGTTGCCATAAAGAGAGTATTTTTCATCTACTTGCTCAAACTTTACCTAAACGAATTAGACGGAACATTTCTTTGCACAGTAAAGAGTTGGTAGCGTGTTTTGAAATGGCTTATTCTAAGTGGAAGTGTTACATTAAAAGAAACATTATCAATGAGGAGTAGGCACCCTTTCAGCCCATTAGAGAATTTAATTTCTCTCCTGACTCGATGCCGTCTTCTGGGAAGATTTCTAGTTTCACGCATAGGTGTCACCACCAGAAGGGAAATTAACTCATCACTGGCTTATAGTTAAGATATAACCATAAGACAAGAAACCTAAAATCCTCATGATCTCATTTATGTTATGTAACCAAATGACGGTCATACAAAATGGCATCTTTTTTTTTTTCTATTAAATTTTTAAAGTTGAAAGATGTTTAAACTATTAGATCAGTCTAATTGGTAACATCTCTGGTAACATTCCACACCCCTAAGCCAGTTTAGCATTTTGAAAATAATGGAGGGCATTTTCTAACAATTTCTTGTATGGCATGGTGTTAGGATAAGGTATTGCTCAATGTCTGACACAATTTGTCTTAAATGGTTTGGAAAAATGAACTGAAGTGGGTGGAACGACATTCTCTTCAGGAAAACAAACTACAGTGTCCAGTGGCTGTATTTTTTCCCTTCTATCTTTTTTTCTGCTTCTCTAGTAGAAAGAGGTGGATTGAGATGGATCACTATTTAAAACTTGCACAGCTTCAGGAGATGATACCTCTACATCAAAAGAAAAACACTTTATGTACAAAAAATTTGTTTTGAAATACAGCCCTTCAAAGAATACTGTTCTGTCCTGTGTGTATATTGAGTTTTTTCTCTATAACTGATTTCACAACATCGACTTATTTCATGATTAAATGAGGTTATAAACTTCCATTACATTTATTTCCTTGGGAAAAACAAAGGGATGACGATACTCCTCCTTGTTCAGTGGAATTGCTAGGTCTTAACCATAATGGATAATCTTTAACTTTCGGTTACTACAATGTTTTCAAGCATCCATTTTGTCATCAATATAGAGAATTCTTAAATAATTTCTAAATGAATGAAAGAATTGTGTTTGTTGATATGTGTTGATAGATAATATACTTTCCTTAAAGATTTTTTTAATGTATGTTATTGGAGAGAGGGTTGAGAAAATATACATGAAAGACACATTGGAAACAAGGCAAGGTCAGTTTCTATTTCTGATAAAACATTAAAAGATGGCAAATTGATATGTGTTTTAGATTTAAAATTGTTTTTCATGTATGTTGGTTGGTGCTAATGTATTTCTTTTCCTTTTTCTCTATGGACAATGCAACTACTATGGATAATTTTATTTCCCTGCTTAATAGCATTCCTAAATCATTAGTGTGTGATTTTATTTTTAAAGTTCATGAATTTGCTATAATTATGGTCCAATGACCAGGCTTTCTTAATGTAAAACAAAACAGTATACCTATAGATGGATGATGTGTGTTTACTCGGATCATGGATCCTCCTCTTTCATAGTCATTTCATACATCATATGCCTTTATCTACTTTCATGTGTCTCATCTTTTTCATTCACTCATCTTTTAGTTTATATGATTTGATGAAACATGACAAAACTAGCATTAGAGAAGTCTGCACACACCTTATAGAGTACTTAGTGCACAAATATACCTAATTTTTTCTTTCAGTTTTTGTTTTTCATTAGTAAAAGCAGTCTTGGAGGACTTTTTTTCTCATGTGATCTTATAGAGGACATTAGAATATCTTTAATTCCTACTAGAAGAAAGGTCTTGTTTTTAAATTTACATTCTGTGCATACGATGTTCTGATGGGACAGCAAGAACTTACACATCAAGTAGTTTATACTACATGTCCTTTGTCTATCTATCTATATAGACATATATATATGCTAGTTTAGAAAACTGTCAAATCAGCATGTCAGTACCAATGGAAAAATTGTCTTTGATATGTTGTATTTTTATCACTTAGGAAATGTGCTTAATTTCCAAGGTTTATTTTTTTTTTAATGTTACTATCAAAGCATGAACACTTAACATAATTTGTTATTCTTTCTTTCCCCACTATATATTGTCTTACCCAGAATTGGGCTATACTTTGGTGGTATTTTAACATCTTCTAATAAGTGATCATAAGCAACATACAGATGCTAATATTTGAAATCTTGTTTTTTCTTATTTCCTAATAATCAAATTATATTAATATTTCGCACTTCAAAAAAATAGGATTTTCTAATTTGTAAAAACAAAAGCTCCTGCTATCTCTTGGAAGTTAAGTCCTTAGGAACCCTATCTTATCTTTCTAAAAATAAGAACAATCTGACTATTATTGTGATTCTGGCTATTAAAATCATACATCCGTAGTGGAATTAACAAGCTTGACCAATTATGATTATGCTAAATTGTTTTAGACTAGAAGGACTGTCAGTCCCTACTTCTTCCCATTTTTATTGGGATATCTATGTTGGCTAGATTTGTTGCCAACATAAAGTTGACACAGCAGGACACTCCTCTAACTTAAATTTGTAGTGGAGTTTGGTTTTTGCTAACCCCATACTAATAAACACTTTAATGACTTTTTTCATTTCAAAATATTTAAATGTATAAAATTGCCTGTGCTGCTTATTGAAAGAACTGTCCTTTTGGGAATGGGAAGATTTTTTCCAGCCTAAACAGTTATGCGTGATTTATTAACAACTTAACAAAGAAAGTACCACATTTCTCAAAATGTAGTTGATATTCTCACCTATCTCAGAAATATTAATGAATTGGATTCACAAAAGAATGTCTTACATACTGTTGACATTTATGTGAGTATTCTTTATACTGTTGTAAATGTTTCATTCAACTTAATAACATTTTTAAAAGATGTATGTATCTGATTTTTCTTTAGAAAATATTATATTTTTATTTGTATTTTTTACATTTTAAAGTTCATCTCTATGTGCAGCTATTTTTATATTGCCAAAAACTCACATAAATACAAAATAAGTGAAATATGCAAAAAAAATATTTTGGCAAGCATTACACTGCGTATTTTTTTAAATGTTTGTGGGCCAGTCTCATATAATTGATTATTCTAAGAATGTGTTGTGTCTTATCACTGTAAATATGGCACAAACCTGTTTATCTTAGTAGTGTAAATAATTGAAAGATTGAATTCTCCCTGTTCAATTTTTACTTTAATTTCATTGTACTTTCTCCAGCTGACATTACTGTATCAAAAGATGCATAAGATTTTTGATTTGCGGTTTGGAGATAATTGCATTGTGTTCAGTTTCCAATTTGTTTTTATTTGCTTTTTAAATTTGTTTTCAGGGTTCCTAGTTTGTGAGAAGTTGATCTTCAGAATTATTTTTACACTATTTATGACTTATTTTCATAATGTAAAAAGTGTGTAATTATTACAATATTAATCCAAACAATGATAATGAATTGTATTGTTATAAAGCTTTATTGATGTTCATGAAAACCTTGGCCTCTTTTCTTTGATTTAAACATTATTCATAAAGAATTTTATTCTACTCTTCTACAATATTGTAACTCCATCATTTAACCTGGTGCACATACCTAGCTATAGGGATTTTCTAAAACTAGAACTTTCTGATTTTTGATTTTGTTTTTGTTTTTTGAGATGGAGTCTCGCTATGTCACCCAGGCTGGAGTGCAGTGGACCAATCTCGGCTCACTTCAAGCTCCGCCTCCTGAGTTCAAGCGATTCTCCTGCCTCAGCCTCCTGAGTAGCTGGGACTACACATGCCCACCGCCATACCTGGCTAATTTTTGTATTTTTAGTAGAGACGAGTTTCACCATGTTGGTCAGACTGGTCCCAAACTCCTGACCTCATGATCCACCTGCCTCAGCCTCCCAAAGTCCTAGGATTACAGGCGTGCGCCACCGCACCCGGCCTCCCCTCCTAATTTTCCTCCACTATTTCACATCTTGGTGAATTAAGTTACCTTACATTTAGTTGCCTCTTACCATCCTCCCATCAAATTGGTCATCAGTATATGATTAGATTGTAGCGCATAAGAGTCACTTAATAAGTATTTAATGGGCTGGGTGCGGTGGCTCACGTCTATAATCCCAGCACTTTGGGAGGCTGAGGCGGGTGGATCACGAGGTCAGGAGATCAAGACCATCCTGGACAACATGGTGAAACCCGTCTCTACCGAAAATACAAAAAATTAGCCGGGCATGGTGGCAGGCACCTGTAATCCCAGCTACTCAAGAGGCTGAGGCAGAAGAATTGCTTGAACCCGGGAGGTGGAGGTTGCAGTGAGCCCAGATCGTGCGCTATATATATATAGCGCTATATATATATATAAATACTATACTATTTATATATATATAAATAACTATATATATATAGTATTTAATGAATAAATGCCTCCAAAGATACCAATTATTTACAAGTCCCAAATAAAAGACTACTTCCCAATGCTCACCTTTTATTTTTGCTTTTGTAATTGAAAGATAAAATTGTGTGTATTTATTGTGCAAAATACGATGTTTTGAAGTGTATATACACTGTGGAATGGCTAGATCTAGCGCTCATCTTTGTTGATCTTGCCAGCAGCATCAGATGCAGTTGACCACTGCCACCCTCTTCAGTGCTCATTTTAGTTCTCAAGTCTTTATGTTCTTGTCATTTAATCCTACTTTTCTGTCTTATTTTCCTTTGCCAGCTCTTCCTTCTCTACCTGATCATTAAATGATGATTCTCAGGGCTCCGACTTTCATTCTCTCTTCTGCTTTTGCTCTTCTCAGCCGTGCATTCCGTCTCTCCAGAAGAGCTCATTCACTCTCACAAAGACCACATTTGTGTCTTCATCAGACTTCCTTCTGACTTTCAGACCAACTGATAAAGGCATGTCCACCTGGATGTCCCATAGGTGCTTATCATCTTCCGCTTCACCCCTGGTTTTCTTACAGACTTCCATATCATAATGAATGGTGCCACCTTCCCCACCTGCCATCCAGGCAAACAAGGTGGAGGCCTCAGAATCATTTTGGACACTACACACCTCCATCACCCACCCATCCCCTCACACGTACAGCATCTAATTCATCACCAAGTTCCTCCAATTCTGCCTCCTAAATCTCTGTCAGATCTACCCCTTCTCTCCATCCCCATCCCACGGCCTCAGTTTAGACTTTCCTCATTTCTCTCTTAAACTTTTGGAGAAACCTTCTAACTGACCTCTCTGCAACTATTAACTATCTCATACCCTCTATCACTCTGAGAATGATGATTCAAAGAAAGCAAATATGGCTTTATTTATAAATTCATCCTTTTATTTCATTTCCCGTAAGATTTAAGACAAATTAAAAGAACATTTATAAAGAACACTATTGCCAGGCACGGTGGCTCACTCCTGTAATTCCAGCAATTTGGGAGGCTGAGGCAGGCAGGTTGCTTGAGCCCAGAAATTTGAGACCAGCCCAAGCAACATGGCAAAACCCTGTCTCTACAAAAAAAGTGCAAAAAGAAATTATGCAGTCATTCTTGTACACACCTGTAGTCCCAGCTACTTGGGAGGCTGAGGCAGGACAATCACTTGAGCCTGGGTGATCAAGGCTGTAGTGAGCCAAGATGGCGCCACTGCACTCCAACCTGGGTGACGGAGGGATACCCTGTTCCACAAAAACAAACAAAAAAACCTTTTAAAATACATAAATTAGTTTAAAAATAAGAACCTGGAGAAACATATGTAAACATAGTTCAAGACCACAAAGAAAGTTATAATGAAAAGAAAGAAAATATAAAACTCCATAGTATCATTCAATGAAACAACCAGCATGGCTCTGAGCCTCCTGGTGTTCATAGCAAAAGAAAAATCAGTAACACACTTGTATCATCCATAAGGTGACAAGGCACAGGTTCCTCAAAATAACCAAAGCTAATTGAAAATATATATACATATGTTTAAAGTATATATATTTATATAAATATATAAATTTATAAATATATAAATTTATATAAATATATACTTTATATATAATTTGATTTCTATAAATATATATTAAATATAAATATATAAAAAATATATATTTTAACTATAGTTAAAAATACAATAGGAACTGTAACATACCTTTCTTTTTGGAATGAGTCATTTATTCTATTATGATTCAGATGCTAACTCATGAATTGGAGAAACAATAATTTTTAAAACAATGTTTAAAACTTCCATGCTCTTCCATTGTAAAATCTTAGGATGTAACAATTCCCCTTTGGAAATTCACTCTTAGAAAGCCAGTTACAAAATAATACAATATAAAAGAAATTTCAATCTACATTTAGGATTTGCCTGTAACACATCAGTCTGATTCATAAGCCAAAAGAAACATTTTTATGTTTCCATTTCTCCTTCCCTCTTTTCTCTCTCCATTTCTCCATTTCTCTTCTAAGTGCCTTTAGTTCTGTGTTCTGTTTTGTCACTAAGAAAAAATTTTTACATGTTTGACCAAAGGCCAAAGGTGAATGCCAAGTAAACTCAGTCATTTCTTTGAGGATTAATGGTGGGATTTCTACCCAGCATGCCCCAGGTTTGCTGTGTTCAAGTTTTGCCAAGATAAATCTCTGGGCAGTCCAGTACTTGTTTGGAAGAGGACTTGAGAAAAGTTTAATCATTTGTGGGGTTGGTTTTTTGACAGGTCAGCAGAAAAATGCTTTATTGAATCCAGATTAATGTATTTGAGTAAGACTCAGGAAATAAAGAGTATTGGCTTTGGCAGCAGGTTTGGGCAATAGGCAAATGCAGGGCGTTCTCGGGAAAGTCACCAATAAGCATATGTATCTCTCAGGAAACAAAATCCCAGGAACCCATAAAGAAGCCAGTTTTCTAGCTGGGCAGACATCAAGTATCAATTGTTCTTAGACACAGTTGGATAGAGAAGGAAAAACTGGGCCCTGGCCTAGGTTCATCAGATGACCATGATCTCTAATGGCAACAACTGCAATGTCAGCAAAACCATGGGTTCCCAGAAAACTCTCTTGGAATCTCTAGTGAAGACCTAGGAGTAGAAGGATAACTAGAAATCAAATTAGTATGAAATAGGGGTGAAGAAATAAAAATGGGAACATCAGGC